CTGCGTTGTGGATCGTCGGAAAACTGGCAACGGCAACGCTCTGGCTTTTGGGTTTGACGGTCAATTTCAGAGTAGCCTCGGTCACAAGTCCGAGAGTTCCTTCGCTCCCAATGAAAAGCCTGGTAAGATCGTAACCGGCGCTAGATTTCCGCGGGCGCTGCTTGGTCTTTATGACGGTCCCGTCCGCAAGCACAACAGTCAGGGAAAGAACCCATTCCCGCATGGTTCCGTATCGGTAAGCATTGGTTCCCGAGCAACCTGTACCTACCATCCCGCCGATCATGGCGCCGGGGCCAGGATCCGGGGGGAAGAATAGTCCGTTTGTAGAGAGCTGCTCGTTCAGGTCCTCCCATCCCAGGGCCGGTTGCACTACCACATCCATGTCCTTCTCGTGGACTTCCAAAATGCGATCCATGCGGCGAAAATCAATGCATACCCCGCCCCGCGTGGGTGCAAAGTGGCCTTCCAGGCTGGTGCCTCCGGAATAGGGCGTGACCGGAATGACCCTTTGATGGCAAACCTTCATGATGCGCGAGACTTCCTCGGTCGTTGAAGGGTAGAGGATAAGAAAAGGTTTCTCGTTTTCCTTCCGCGAATATGAAGACCAGTCCGACCCCGAGTGCATTTCCAAGTCGCCATTTTCGGTCGACACATTTTCCTTTCCCAGGATTTCAACAAAGTCGGCCCAAGCGGCTTGGAGATTCGATTGCGAGACATTGTGTTGCAAAGGTTCCACGTCGAGTAGGGGAGCTGTCGAGGAAGTTGGGAGACCGGGGGGTTTTAGGGAACCGAGGAAGTAGGCTCCCGTCGAGAAGAAGGTTAGGGCTGTGATAGTTCAGAAATTGGCATACGGTTAGAGACGCAGGTGCACGGTAGGTGGTCGAGGAGCTGGGTACCTACCAAACAAGAACGCGGCATAGCGGCCACCCTGGGATTGAGTTTGGTATTGGGCATGGCGCTCCTGTTCCGCACGCTCCCGCTTCAACCGCTGTTGAGTGCTCTCGTATAGTTGGGTTTTGAATGACTGATTCTGCTCATTGGCACTGCGCGGGAAAGAAGCCTGAATATGTCTTGACTGGACCGAGGGGCAGCGTGGGAGGGTTCTGCAGCAGCCAACCCTGGATTGGAATTGGAGTGTACGGAGAGACCCTCGTAAGGGAAGAGGATGCGGTCTGACCATGACAAAGGCTGGAGGGAAGAAGCTCTCTCAAGGTGGACTGGTGATGTATGAGAAGACTTACCATGATGGCAAGCTACCTAGTCCCTAAGGAACTAGTCCCTTTTGGGCGGCGTCTTATGTCATCTTCTCGGGCCAATTGGTGGGCCGACACCGGGTAAATGCGGTTAAATTCAGTCCTTCGGTCCTTCGACCTTGCCTTTCTTTGCTTCCCCCCGCCATGATGAAAGGGTGGGAGGGGGAAATACGGGTCCATTCCTACGGAGTAGTACGACGACCTGTACCTCCGGTGTACAGAGCCAGTACCTCTCCGATCTCTGTCATGTAGTATAGCCATTCTGAGTGTGTCCATGTTTTTCTTTTCTTCCCTCCCCTCCCCTTCCCCACTTGAAAGCCATTATAAGACTCACATCTCCCCCGCCTTGTCCTCGTTCTCTCTCACAGACCTCCCCCACCCCGTTAATTCTATTGAGCGACTTACATTGGACAAATTGCTACCCAGGCTCTAATCTAAAGGCCCTTACAATGATCGCAAACGCCCAGGTACGTTAGGTGAACAAGATCAATCAAAGGAACAAATAAGCTCACGGTCTTCTGCCTTCCTAGAACCTCTCCTTTGTCCTCGAGGGAATCCATCAGGTCAAGTTCGAAGACCGGCCTATCCCAGAATTGAAAAATCCTCATGATGTGATTGTCAATGTCAAGTTTACGGGCATCTGCGGTAGTGATGTAAGGTGCTTTTCCGGCTAACGTTTGACGTCTCAACAACTGACATTTCCTCGCAATCCAAGGTTCACTATTGGGAGCACGGCTCAATTGGCCAGTTCGTCGTGAAAGAGCCTATGGTTTTAGGACACGAATCCTCAGGTATCATCAGCAAGGTTGGGTCGGCTGTTACGAGCCTGAAGGTGGGAGATCATGTTGCGATGGAACCTGGCACCCCCTGCCGTCGGTGCGAGCCCTGTAAGGCCGGCAAATACAACCTCTGCGAGAAAATGGCCTTCGCCGCCACCCCGCCCTACGATGGTACTCTCGCCAAGTACTATGTCCTGCCCGAGGACTTTTGTTACAAGCTCCCGAGCAACATCTCGCTGGAGGAGGGCGCAGCCATGGAACCCCTTGGCGTTGCCGTGCACATTGTGAAACAAGCCAGCATCACCCCGGGTCAAACCGTCGTCGTTTTCGGTGCCGGTCCAGTGGGACTACTGTGTTGTACTGTGGCTAAGGCCTACGGCGCCTCGAAGGTTATCGCCGTGGACATCCAAAAGCCTCGATTGGAGTTCGCCCGTAAATATGCCGCCACGGCCACGTTCGAGCCGGCCAAGGCCCCTGCCCAGGAAAACGCGAACGAAATCATCAAGGAAAACGATCTGGGCGCGGGCGCCGATGTCGTCATCGATGCTTCGGGCGCCGAGCCCTCGATACACACCGGCATTCACCTTGTTCGGCCGGGTGGCACGTACGTCCAGGGCGGCATGGGCCGGAGTGAGATCACATTCCCGATCATGGCGGCTTGCACGAAGGAGCTGAACGTCAAGGGCAGCTTCCGCTATGGCAGTGGCGATTACAAACTTGCGGTTGACTTGGTTGCCTCTGGCAAAGTCAACGTGAAGGAACTGATAACCGGCGTTGTTCAATTTGAAGATGCTGAGAATGCTTTCAAAGAGGTCAAGGCCGGAAAGGGCATTAAGACGCTAATCGCCGGGCCATGATCTCAAACGCCCTGCAGTTGAGACTGGTTGTCAGGAAGCGGGTACAATCTTGAACCCCCCCCCCACCCCTATAATGGATATACGAGTGTTAAATGAAGGCGTCTGGTATGGCAGAAACAAAAATTAGAACGAAAATATAGCGAGGAGAGAGCTATGTGGAGTCCTGGTGAAGAGCGCAAAGTGTTAATGCGGCTGAATTAATTTGAAAATATCTTGTTTTGGCAAAACAGTATGATAAAAGAAGGACATTGTGGGTATCAGCTAAGGTGATCGAGGTACCTCGCATAGAAGTACCTCGCGCTAGAACAAGAATTAGATAGAGCCAAAGAAGTCTGCCACATTGGTGCAGAGGACAGACATGGGCAGGCGGAGACATGTATGTAGAACATTCAGCAGCATCCGCCACCTTTCCTCTGATGCGAACCACCTAGTCGAAACACGTCCTCCCATTCTCTTACACCACCTCTCCAGTGGTTCGCACCCCTTCTCCTTGCACCCTTAGGATGCAGATGCACAGCATTCTCATCAACGGTCATATGACTGCGAATGCTCGAAACATCACTGGTGCCGTGTCCGTACAGGCCGCCATCGCCATATTGTATCCCACTCTGAGGATCATCTGGGTCTATTTCACCTAGCTCGATCTTTGTAAGGATTATACGGGCCAATCTATGGAACAGCTCTTCAACGCCTTCTCCCGTGAGCGCCGAAACTTCCACCGCCACGGGTATGTTCGATTTAGCCGCCCAACGGGACGTTTCATCACCGATGACCTGGCGACCTTCGGGAGCCTGGGTGGCGCTCAGCCTCGTGCCCGTTACCATATTGCTGGTAGAACGCATGGACCCTCCTCCGCCTGAGTCGAATGGGAAAGAGGACTGTTTGCTGGATGTACTGGATGGTGTTTGGGGAGGGTTGTCGACGAAGCTCGCATGTGGGAGAGGGTCGGTCGCGAGATCCCTTTTATTACCGGCCAGTAAGACGGTGAGACTCGGGGAAGCAAGGGCCCGCGCATCCATCAGAAAGGTCGGAAGGGAAGCGAAGGATGCATGCGAGGAAATGTCGTAGACTAGGATAGCCCCGGCCGCGCCGCGGTAGTAGGAACGGGACACAGATCGGAATCTCTCTGTCCCAGCCGTGTCCCAGAGCTGCAACTTGATTCTTGTTCGACGTGGGCCCGTGCCTAGCTTGATGATTCTCGACGAAAACTCGACCCCGATGGTTTGTGACGATAGCACTCTCCCTAGAAGGCGCACGGTTGCATTAGCGAGCCGGTTATTCCGTCGGGAACGGGAATAAAACAGGCTCAGCAGAAGGTCGGATTCGTACATTCATTTTTCACGAATCGATGTAACACACAAGATCTAAGATGCGCCGGTACTTCGTATGAGTTATCGGACCTTTCAACCAGTGGGGAGGAATCCATTTGTAGCTACTTACTTTCCGGCGCCGCTCGGTCCAAGGAGAATGACTTTAGCCAAATAGTCATACATACTCTCCAGCTCCTAGATGCTGTCAGAAGGAAGTCAAGCGGAATAATGGTGCGTATGTCAAAGCGATATCAAGCTCCATCGGATGCGGTGGGTGGGAACGCGGGGAGGATTGTACCTGGTTTCTCTCCGGAAAAGAGGAAGTCGAAGAAACATCAGATGAGCTCCTTTTGCGCACCATAATGGCGAGCGCACTTGTTCCGGTAGGGTCAATCAATATTAGGAGAATTATACGGGGGGCAGGCGGGGGTGAAGAGGGATGGCGAAGGCCGCTGAACGGACTGTTCCGCCGCGCTGTTTACCCTGGTCCGTGGGTTGGAGGCGGAAAGCGGAAGGCTGATATGGGCGGAAGGCCGCGCCTAAACCCCAACCCATCTACAACCTTCTAGGTGGGATTTGGTTACTTGCTCTCTACAGGCGAGGTGGAATCTCTATCTGCTAATCGCTATGTGGCCGTGTGCAGTCTCCATGCATCATGGTAATAGTTAATGCCAAAAATGGAGGGAAAAAAGGAATAAGAATAGCAATTAGTTCATACAAGAAAGGTGAAGAGGAAGCAAGACACGCCAGCCAGCTAACTGCATGGTTCGTTTACATCAATTAACACATGGTTTTCGTGTTTCAGAAGATGTCGTCACAGGCACTCCAGTCCTGGGCGTCTCTGGACTCCCAGTATTTCCCATTGTGAGCCCAGTACTCCTCGCCGGTCACGGGACATTTCTCCCTAACAAACCACTTAGGCCGATGCTCCTCTCCCTTCGTTTCCATCTCCCTTCGCTTGGCTCGTTGCTTCTCTTCAACCCGATGTTTCTCGCTGGCCGCCAGGTCATACTCGCCCTCCTCCATTGCACGCTGGTCCGGTCTGCGGCGAGTGTCCGTAGGTGGTAGATAATGCTCCAAGTCTTCGGTGAGGGCATTGAGTGTGATGCCAAACGGGGTTAAATTGAAAGGAACACCGGTCGGGCGGGAATGGCTTTGCCAAACCAAAAACGTCTTGGCCGACTCTGGATCCTGGCCTGATACCTGTGCTTCGAACCCGGGCGTGTGGCGGGCATAGATCTTGTCATTCCAACGGCCGCCCATGCTCCATCTAGGTAGCCCCTCACTATCTACCACCTTGCCAGTTACCTGGTATGCCGACGAAGCCTTCCAACCTCTCGGCTTGAAATCCAAATAACAAACCTCGCCGGTAGTCCAGTTCTTGATCTCCATCAACCCATAATTGTCAACGGTGGGGTTACCAGTGATGATGCCAATCACGGAAGACGTAACTTTCTTCCAGGTATAGAGCTCTTCACCTCCCGATGCAGGACGCAACTTCAGGAACCAGGTGCCGAGCAGGTTAATATCGAAGGATTTCCCGTAAAACTTGGATTTGAGAGCAGATTCACCCTGGAACTTGTCAGTACTATGCAATGGAGATAATGGTTAACAGGGGTTGGACTCTTACATAGTATTGCCACTTTGCTGATTCCGCCCATGCCGCGCCAATCGGCGGGTGATGGCTGACCTGCTCAACGAAAAACCGATATCCCTTGTCAGGTCTCGCGTACTCATACGTTTCTCCCAGAAGGGGGTTGAATGGTTTAGCCACACGGCCGATGGTTGAAGCATATTCACTCGCAGCGTATGCAGCAACGTAAACCAGGCGTTCCATCGAATCGGATCGATCAGCTGCTATGTCAAGAAGGTCTGCATATTCCAAATCCTCGGCTACACGTTGCAGCAGCGACGTCGGCTCATTGAATGAAACCGGTAGTGTCATTTTGGTCATGTCCTTGCCAATCATAGATTTCAAAATACCCTGCGACAGTTCACTATTAGATGTCGTACGCGCCTGACTAGGACAGGGGTGTCAACTTACCCACAACGAGATCCTGGGTCTGTTATCGTAGTCCATTTTCAGCTTAGTCCTCACAGGCTCCTCGTAGCCTTTGAACGAAGGGACGATTTCAGAATGTTTCACGGCACGTAGCTCCGTGGTCTTTTCTTCAGGTTCTGGTTTTTCGTCCTTGGTTTCTGCGGTGGCGAGATTCTCAACTTCAATCTCACCGGCATCGATCGCATCAAAAAATTCATCCTCATCGTCTGATGCAGAATCATATAGGCTGCTTATTTGGGACACTGTCGATTTCTTTCGACGCAAAGGTTGGTCATTTGTGGGCTCGTCTTTTGACTCCGAGGTCCCTATGCCCTGCTCGCTGGGAGTACCGTCAAGATCGTCATCGACACCTTTCATATGGGGCGGTTGATCAGCCATGTGACCAGTCTTGGTCGACGAACCCTCTAATGCTTCTTTGAGAGCCCGCTTGGTTCGGCGTCGCTTTTCCTCGGACTCTCCCATTTTCGATTGCAGCTCCTCGTGCTCATGAGCAACTCGTGCCATACTCTCTTCCCACATCTTGCGGAGGTGTGCCTCTCTGTTTAGTCGATATTGCCAATACGAGTCGCGATCCCTGGATATCTTTAGTAGATTCTGCACCAATCCTTGAAGGCTGCTCACGGCTGCTTCGTAAGCACCGAGGGCTTGATCAACAGCAGGATCACCGAGAGACATGTCCGGGTGGCTCGATTTCTCGGCCTGCAGTGAAGAGGACACACTGGCAAGGATATCCAGCTGGATCTTTGTAGATTGAGCTGTGATGTTCAAAGCATCTTTATCAGCTGGCGGCATCTCACGACTGGATGCATATTCACCATAGTCGTCATCATCACCCTCCATATCAGGCGCAGTAGTCACGTGGCTGAAAATTCGATTGATTTCACTCGGTGCGCCACCACCTTGATCGTAGGACTCAAATACCGAGCCATCGTCGTCTGCCAGCGTGCTCTCCAAGGTTGTGCGAGAGGCGTACGTGCTCAGCCTTGTGCCGCTGCTACTTGGAACACCAAGAGATGGAGGAGCGAGGCCTTTGCCATTTGACTTTGCCGCTGCTAAGTTAGAAGACTCGGAGGGACTCTCGAGCGGTCGGCCTTCAATCTGCTCCATTTTCGCTTGGCGTAACATCTCTGCGTCTCTCGTCTGACGTCTTTGTTCTTCTTTAGCTTCATCCTTGGCCCACTGGATGGCGTTGTTCAAAGTCCAAAACCAGCGCTTGGCCTCAACTACGTGATTTGCTTTCAGGTGGTATTTGACAGAGGACTTTCCATGGATTTCGAAACGCGTCTTGTCCTGGGAATCCATATTGAGCCTGGCAATTTTCATGTTTATCGCGCCCCGACAAGCAGATCCCGCATCATCTGCAACAGTTTAGAAACTTTCCGCTGTTGGGGGGAATGGCAGCTTTACCTTGATGCTTATAGTAACTCAAAACGCCGTCTTCGAGGACAAACCAGCGCAGTTTATAACCACTCGTATAATTGGTCCACTTCTTCAAGTAGCCTCTCATTTCACGAGCTTCTTTGCCCGCAAAGGGGGCTTCGCTTGTACTAGCGCGGCCTCCAGAGAGTCCCTGGCCAGAGTTCGTTCCTAAGATGGCCTTTTCCTGAATACCACGCTGGGCAATAACTGCAGCTGGTGACTTCTTGAGGATGGCACGTGTTCTGTCGTCCTTCGTCACGTCCTGGGGAAGTTTCCCTTTCTTATCACGCCGGAAAGGATCGGCGCCGTGCATGAGTAAGATTTGGATGAGCTTGGTATCTTTCTTTCTCGCTCCCTCATGCAACAAAGTACCCCCAGACTGAGCGGTGGCGGGGTCAGTCACTAAATCCAGACTGTTCACATCCATTATACCCTCCACACGGGGCTCCTCTAACACCTTCTCCAGCTTCTCGTAATCACCCTGAGATATGAGCCGCTGCATTTCCTGGGTCTTGTTATCCATGAAGAGGGACCGCGCTAGCTGAAGTTGTTGGAAGATCTCCGGGGTACGGGCAACGTCGAGAGCAGTCTGACTGCGATAGTTCACAATAGAGTCGTTGACAGACGCCCGGTTGAGCAACTCGCGTACCAGCGGTCCCCTACCAAGCTGGGCGGCCAGATGAAGGGGGGTGTTGCCATCTCGGTCGCGTTCATTGACGTTGAGATCCTCGTCGATGGAGAGGATATATTCCACAACCTGTGGCTCGGCACATTGAATCGCCAGGTGAAGTACGGTCGTGCCAGATAGGGCACCGGTGCCCTGGGAGTCCTTCGTCTCTCGGATGGCTTTCGAGATCGCAGTCGTGTCCCCGCTACGTAACGTTTCGAAGAGTCGAAAGGTGCGCACAGACTGGTCTAGGGACATGCTCTTACTATCAACCTGTGTCCCCGACGGTAGTTTCTCGATATTCTCGCCACTCTGGTTGGAGCCCGTTGGCTCCAAGGAGGGTTCTTCTGCCATCGAGGGCGGGCGCGCTTCCTGGTGGGACTTTCGACGACTCGAGCTTCGTGGGATGGGAAGAGAGGCAGGCGGGTTGTTGTTCAGGGTTGATGAGGGAATCGAGGATCGAGATGAACTACTGCTGTCACGACCAAAGCTCTCCTCGTGACTGTCCTTTGACCTGTCACGATTCAAGAGCGAAAGTGCCAGCGCACTTCGAGAACGCTTATGTCTGCGGAGTTTTTCCATTATACATTAGCGAAACTTCTCGTGGCCACCTTGATACAGGTATCTAAACAAGCCGTGCAGATGTGTACATTTCCCATGTTCCACTACGAAGTTGTGACTGTCCGGCGGGATGATCAGTCCCAGGACAGTGACACAGCCTCCCATGCGACGACCCATGGAACCAAAGCTGACTATCCCAAGAACGCCGGAGGGAACTTACCCTTCGCCCTTTTCCGTCATCACTAGAAAACCACGGAGCCACCACCGAGTTCGTCCAGTGGTTTAGAGAAAAATCGCATGTGAGGTTATAGCCGTCGTAAGAGGAATAGGGGGGCGGTAACTAGAGTCGATCTATTGATACCACATGGGAGGGATGGCTGATAAATAAAACTCCGACTGTCTTTCAAGAGATCAAGAGGGGACACAGGTTTCCACCGTGCCTGAACAGCGGCTCCCGTGCCTTGGCAACAGTCCCTCGTGACTGCAGCGATCGCCTTGTTTCCCTTCTTCATTTGGATCTCCGTAGGTAACCGTATTTATTGCTCTGCTTCGAGGGAGAGGACAGGAGAAAGAAAGCCTGACAACATTATGACATTATGCCATATACATCAAAATCTAGGAACTATAATACATACATACTATACAGTACATCTATCAATCGCACTCATTGACCGTTATATACAAACACGCTGCGACGGGAAACCCCAGGTTGGTGTTGGACTACCCCGTTATCCGAGCATGTTTGAGCTATCATTTTGTATCGCCGCTCACCAAAACAATAACACTTCCAATCTGGCGCCTCAAATCTTCCTTGTCGACATCATGAGTGTCTTCAACCTCGCCCCACATGTCGGTCTGCCACTTGACTTCGAGGCTCGAAGCTTCTGCTGCCTCTTCAATACCGAATTTCTTGGGCTCTGACCGTTGAATTGGCCGGAAGTTTTCACTCCACTCGGCAACCAGCCTAACGGCAACCAGCAAACTCTTGGATGCGAGAATTCCTCTTTCCAAGGCGGCCAAGTCATGTGAATGCAGGTTCGAGATCCAGAGCCGAATAATGTCCTTTGTAGCCTGAGACTGGGAGACTGGTAAAATGCTGTTGCTGTCTAGGATAAGTTTGATGTCAATTCCCGGCCATACTTTTGTGCTCAAGAAGGCAATGGTGTCTTTGGCGATTCTCATCTGAGCGTCTCGAAGGCTTTCCGATTTCACGCCATTGTCATCAAGTTCTTCGGCCTGTTCGGGTACCCAACAGAGCAAAGTATCCGTATCCAGGTAGCGCATTGAGGTCGTTATAATTTGGTCTCTGGTGCCTGTCTCGCCCCGATCATCCTCCTGAGCAATGTCGGTCGCTCGGGCCGTGAGTGAGGTAAGTGGGATCAGGTGGTTTTTCAAAGCTTGCTGAGCGGTCGTCATGACATCCCATTCCAAGGCAATCGCATGGGCTAGGTGGGGTTTCGTGGGGGGGATGGAGAGGATATCCTTAGTGGGCGTGCGAACGGGCCGAGCGTCTAACAGGACTCGATATTCCCCTTCTGCAGCCGGAAAAGGACGAAGTCAGTTTACAGATAACCCCAAAAATCACGCGTATTGTGAAGCACACGTACCCGGCTTTTTCTCAACGTTCACATCCTTCCAAAAACGCTTTTTGAGCGGCTCCCGTTGAGACTTCAATTGCGACTTGAGCTCGTCCGCCTGGTTCTTCTGCTGTTCTACACGGCCAGTGAACTCTGGTGCGGCAGAAGGGGCCTTAGGTGGGGGGCCATGCGCAGTGATGGGATGGGCTATAGCAGCCTTCGATGAACAAGAATGGAAACCACGGGGTTGTAGAGCAGCGAATCTTGGGGTAGTGGATAAGATCGCGTGCCTTGAAGATATTCGGGCAATCTGGAGAACCGGCATTGCTTCTCTGACCTCTGGCGGTTGTTCGGTAAATATAATCGTATTATGTGGTTCGCGAATGAGGTGATATAGAAGAACAAGAAGCCACTCAAGCCCGGACAGCGTATGCAGATAGCAAAATATGGGCCTCATGGAGACTTCGGAAGTGACACTATTTTCACCGCCCGTGGGCGGTCAACACATGAGGTTCAAATCCCCACCGCCAGCAATACTCCGTATGTAGTCACGAATCAAGCAATTCCAAGCTTCAGAAACTACAAGATACGAATCAAATTTGAACGTCGCTATCATATCGGACCTACTAGGATTTCCCACTCATACAATGGATTTGCACCCTCAGGGTAAAGTGGGTTCTAATGTAGTCAAACTTCAGAAGTTTTCCAACGAGTCACAAGTGAATTTCATTAGATGTTATGAGAACAAGATTAGTAACACTGAAATAGAAGGGATATCATGCCACAAAAAAGGGAGAAAGGTCTCAGAGAAAGAAGAGAGAGAGAAAAGGGCAAAAAAGCCGAAGCTTCCAGTCTAACACGACATAGGATGATAAGAAAATTGGACAAGCGACCATGGAACCCGTCCACGCTTTTGTAATATACAAGACCCTTGGATGCCATCTTCCAGGGGCAACATTAGTTTGGGAGGTGATGCGGGATCGAGAGAAAAACGGATAAGTCAACAGCGCAAAAGACTTGGTTCTGTTAACCCTGGTGTCTGTCACAATGCAGTAAGACAGAGTCGAATGGGGAATCAACAAAATAAAATAAAAAAGAAAATGAGATAAAAAGAAAATTTTGCATATTCTGCTCATCAAAATGATGATTTTTCAGTGAAAGGAAGACAAAAACTGCTTCCTTAATCACGATGTTGTTCTGCGTTTCGGAGCGTTTAGATCTCGCGTCATGATCGAACCAAACCGCCCTCGCGCATTGTGTCATAAACGCATTGCATCGTTAAAGAAGACAATACATAGCAAATCGCCATTTTTGCCAATCAGATGGAAGTCGGAAAGGCTGAGAGTGTCAGATGTATTTTGCAGGTTCATTGAAATGTTGGAGAAATGGCTTGCTATTATCGCATTCATTGGTTTAGCCATGTTTATTGAGTGATGAATCTCGGATAATACGGTTGCTTCACTCGGTCGTTGTCTGTTCGTTTCTTCATGCGCTCGGCATCATAGTCATCGGCACCATCTCTGCTACCCCATGTTGTCTGTCACGCGGAAGAAATTAAATTAGCAAACTTCATGAGAAATTTCTCTTTCCCTCCATAGAGAAAAAGAAATCGAATGAATGGGATGGGGAGCATGTGAGCGGGGCCGCAAGGGATGATATCGCGATGGGGACAGGCGAATAAAAGTTTGGGGGAATCCCCCTTCCACCAAAACAAGTGTATACGGGGTGACGGTAATAGAAAATCAGAGGGTAACCGAAAAGGGGGAAAGATGCGACGAGAGCGCGGGGTGGAACAAGAAAAAAAAAATAAACAAGAACATGAACAGAAATCAAACTCGGCTCATCGGAGCCGAATTGCCCAGAGCCAGAGAGCACCAAAAGTACATTCTGGCGACATGGGACTCATGAGGCCATGACCCAAATACATGAGGGGTTAATACACCATGAGGGATGAAGGTTTCAGTAGGGCAAAGTCTAGAACTCATCTTGAGGTAGCATCTGGGCTAAATTCAAGCGCAGGGCTCCACGAAGTGGGTTACAAGACCTGTATCGCACAAGCGTTTGTGTAGACCCGAGGAAACAACAAAAATCCAAATCATGCAACTTACCACATTGAGGGTTAGCACTGCGTACATCTTGATTGCTCCGTGGAAATACCCGAAAAGGATGGACACAGGCAGTAACAAGACATCAACCGGGTATCGGATGTAATGGCCTAACAGTTTTATAAACTTGCTGATAAACATCCATACACCGAGGACTTGCATGGCCATAATGTGCGAGCTTTCGTCCCAGGACGCCGTGGCTTTATGGCATAATAAAACAAGCAGCAAGTCACCCAAAAGAGCTGGAGGCGACAGGGTTGTCAGATGGACGGCGTATGCGCTCCAAGGCTGGCGACTAGCAACGCAGAATCAAAATGTTAGTGCATGGTCTAAACGAGGTATTTCCTGCAATGATGGGTTGCTCCAGCTGGACGCATTATTCTCCAATGAATCCCTCATCATGCGCTGTCTTGCTAGCGGCGGGACAATGCTCCACAAATTGCCATTGCCAAGGCATTCATCGCCATGCGTATTGCGAGGGAGTGCGAGGGCGTCCGTCCCCCCACCAGAAATGCGAAGTGAAAAATAATAAAAAGAAAAGGAAGATCAAGGGATCTGAGTACTTACTGCCAAATGTGCTTTTCATGGAACATGCTCGTAAGATTGCTCCTCCAGTTGCTTCGTGACCACCGGGCGCATTGCTTCAGAAAGATAGGGTTATCTTCCAAGGTCGTGAGAACTTCGGCTTCGGGGTGGTACTGCATGAAAGTCTCCCACCCATGCGATACCATCCAACGTGTGATAAAGTTGTCATCGTCGGCATTCAATTGGTATTTCCCAAACCACCATTCTTCGTTAGTGAAACCGTAAGTAAAGCCTTCATTTTGAAGGATGTCCGTTCTGTATGCAACACTCCGCCCTGACATACAGGGGAGTCCGCCATCGATGTGCGTCGTAGCTGCGCAATCGAAGTTCCTTCTTTCCAGGTAGAGAGCGCCCAGGAAGCCCCAAATACGCTGAGATAAAGTCGGTGCAGCAGCACGACGAAGTCGCTGGCATGTGACCACGCCTCCGTATCGCTCGTCTTTCTCAAAGGGAGCTAAGATCCAGGGAAGCACTGTGCGCGGCCAGCTCACATCGTCATCTGCAAAGATCGTAATCGGGGTGCGAACTTCCGGAATGGCTTTTGTCATTTGACGGCGTTTATTGGGATGTGTCACGGTGAAGAGGCGGATCCTTGACTTGGAAGCAGGCATCAAGTTTAACATGTTCTCGGCTTTCTTTCGGTTGGCCTCGATTGTCACCAGTAAGAGTTCGTATGGGTGATTATCAAGGATAGTCCTGATAGTCTCAACCAATTCATCGCCGCATCCCTCAAGAGTAGGGATAATAACCGTAACATCTTGTGCAGTTAATTTCGGGTTTTCCGGGGGAGGAATGGGCTTGAAGGTCCAAAATGAAAACAGATTCACAACAAGACGAAAATAACGGTAAAGACTGGTGGTAAACAAATTAGGTCCTTTCTACCGCAAAGAGAGGGGGAAACCAAGTTATCTTGAAAATCGTGCAGGTGCACGGAGAATCGCCACCTAGTGGTGGAAAGATCGATGGGAAGAGAGAAGTGTGGAAGCTTACAAAAGAGCGATAAAAGCTCGCATAAATGGGAACTCCATATTGGTCTGACGTTGTATGATACTAAGACAGACCGATTCCCCGAATCTTTTTCTTTGTTGGTATGTTCTCCGGTGTCTTAAGATTAGGTTCAAGTCGTACAGAGATATAGGTCAATGCCGCAAGTCCTACTTATAGCACTGCCTTGGAGAATCAATTGCCACCAGAGTGAGCAAGAAGGGGAGAGGGAATAGAAGGGAGGGAAAGGCAAAACGAAGGGCACTTGAGAAGGAATGAGGAAAAAGGGGGGCAAAAAGAAGAAATGGAGGGAGGGAGGGAGATAAAAAGTAGTAAACGAGCGTCTGGATGACGAGAGCTCCTGAGAACTACTAACCAAAACAAAAAGGTCCGGAGGGAGGGATCTTTCCGGTTAATGGGTTTTTCAAAACAAGTGAATCTCAACTAACATGCAACATTAGAGACTTTTATTCGGTTCAGATGGGTCGATGGCAGGGAAGGCACATGCCCAAAGACCGCAATCCAGACAAAATCCATTAAACCAATCCCTAAAAAGGTTTTTTTTTCTCTCTCCTTTTTTTCCATGTCTAGTTCCTTTGTCATTTTGAGTGTCATGCAGGTGTATTTTTGCCTCGTGCGTCAGAGACCCTGGATCTAGATGGATTGAGGGAGAGCACTAAAAGTGGAGAAGGGATTGGCGGCGGCCCATGCAGCTACGGTGCATTGACATGGGCCTGCTGGTGGAGACACTTAATGGTGTGTGGGTTTATTTCCTCAAGCACGACGACAACGCTAAGGAAGGAGCTAAGGTTATCCTGGTTAGTTGGCATGGTGGATGTCGCCGAATTGCTCGGACGCGTGTTGGGGACCGGCGTAATACTCTTTAACAAGAAAATGATAGCCGTATTCCACCACGAATGTAAGTTCGGTTTATTTTAATGTGCCCTCTAACTTTGGGAGGGAAAGAGAACGGGAAATCTAACTGAGAAAGCAAGTGCGGGCCATACTAGCCGTTTCCAATGGGGCCGTTTCGTCCCATTTACGGAGTACGTTGTCCGTACGAAGTACAACTGAGGTGGCAGGAGAAGGCTGAATGTTGAAATTCATTATCCCGGGCATCGTACGCAGTAATTCCGTTTGCCCATTAGTATACCACCATAAATTACACCGTTGTCTACCAAGTACTCAAGTTTTGAATAAGATTCTAGTCAAGCGATGCTGATAAACCGGAATATTAATAACAACGACCTCAGTAGTAACAGATCTAGATGTGCAGGTTTGGATGAATCGGGTTACTCCTAGTAACTAGACCCAGCTTCTGACATAATGGGATCCCGAATTGCAATCATATTTAATGATATGTACTGTGTACACGATAAGACACTACTACTCAGAACTAAGCCAAAAAAGAAAAGAGAAACAGCCCTGGAGGAATGAAATGGTCCAAAGAGTTCTATAGGACACGTCGGAATCTATACGGGAACAACGAAAGAAACTCCTACTAGGGCTAGAACTCGAGATCCTCGCATTTAAAATGGTTACATAATACCTAGCAATCGGAAGTCCATGCATATTGTATCATAAGTCCCCAAGGCGGCTAGGCTTCAGATGAAATTTGAGCACGACGTTGATGCTAGCGGCGATCGCCTAACCTTCTGCCAGTACAGAACTTAAGCCACCATCAGCCCATTGCGGCCTCGTGTTGCCTACATACGGTGGCCCGTTATTAACCGTGGATAGGTCACAAAGCTTAGGTGGGGGAGCAATGAAATTCCATAGGCCACCAGAGTTGATGTCATGGCCATCAAGTACCTGATTAGTTCTTCTACGGGCACTAGAACCGATACAGATGAACCCGTTCGCCTTTTTATCTGATTTGGGCAACGCTTGAGACTATGACACGCTATAGATATGGACATGAAAGACTCTACGGAGTACTTTGTAAATTATGTCGCGTTCAATGCGCACACAGTACAGGACAAAAACCGCGGACTCCTCAGTAATAGTCTTGTACATATGTACAATATTTTATAAACTAGTTACCTAGACATATATAGCTGACAAAAGGTCACTCAAAATAGAAACGGAGGTGGGAGCCTGTACACCATAGGCCAGGACGAATTTAGCCATATGTAATAATGTAAGTAAGGAGCTAGGCCTTCGAGGGCTTAGATGATGCAACCAAGAGATTAAAGAATCGAAATACTAAATCCACACTAGCCGGACTGCATGCATTGTCAGCCCGGTAGGCACTGTAGGTACTTCCTCATTTAGACAAGGGAGAGTGGCACCGGATATCCGAGCAACTCCTGGCCAATCACCCTTGGAGCCATCGTAATCTCCGAGGAGAGGTATTTCTCCGCCCATCACTACAAAGTATGTAGGTACCAGGTAGAGCGTTATAGGGAAAGGATTGCTGTAGAGGTAGGTGACGGCAATCAACTTGCGGCTCGAGCTCCATTTCAAATTTCCTATAACCAAATCAACATGGGGGTTGTTGGCTCGCATTGACATCATGCTGGATCTGGGGGGACTCGTGCCCGTGACAAGGAAAACTAAACGCAAAATCAATTAATCAAAAAATAAAAGGAGCACGGGTGTACGGAGTATGGAGTACATATGTATGGCAGTACATCGCCCGGCTTGGTGGCTGCAGATGAGGAATAATTCCCCTGCAACTTACCCCAAACGGCAATATGCTTCAGAGTCAGACCCAGAAGCTGCCGGGGTTTACACTGTAGTATGTATTTATTCAGTACCACATAATACTCCGTAAGCGTAGGTCGGTATCATTCATTGTACATGTACTTTTGTACCAACTCTAAAAAGGGCCCTAACCGCAAATGATATTAGCTACATGAACATGCATACGGAGTAAACCACCCTGAGTGTACATGCTCAGTAAGGTAGGTAGGTAGTCTATTCTCAGCATAAGGTACCTACCTATTGAGTATCGGCGTAATAAATTACACCACGGTCGGTCGGTAGGCCTAGCCAACGCTACCTATAACCAGCTCGGATATATCTGATTAATGATGAAACGATTTGAGTCGGTCTATACAATGCTTGAGCTAGTTAAGTACGGAGTAGTTAGTTATACTGTACGGATTATGTCAAGTGTCATTAATCGCACGGAGCCTTGAGTAGAGCACGGTGCGATTAATTGGCACTTGCTCTTATCACTACTATTTGAGGTTAGGCGATATAGCTACTGCTGTGGGTATCTGCCCTAATGGACGGAATCCCGTTTACCGAGTAACAATTTGGAGTCTGTGTATTTGGACGGGCTCGCAGGCAACTGGGCCCTCTGGATGCCGACGAATGTCTGCCTAGCTAAGACATCAAGGCGCATGTGGTACTTTGTAGGCACGGACCAGTCAGAGGCACAAAAGCCACAGTCGACTCAAGTACGGGGTGTCCTACACTCCTGGGGCCTCATACACATACCTATTATGATATTATCACAGGCGAGAGTGAAACAGACGCGTATCTTTCGGCTGCACGGACTAAAATCCGCCAAGCTCTCCACTCATACCCGGGAATGGCCGAAAATCCGTTTAGAGGTACTCCGGACGGGGGAAAAACCTCCCGGTCAAATACTATAATATAGTAGACACTATTTCGAAGGTTCAGCAATTGTGCTCATTTGGAGAAACTACGGAGTAACCAGGTGCGCTATGTGTAAATCTAAATTACAGGGTACAATATCCACACGGAACCGTTGGCAGGTGAAAACGGAGGATTACTCCGAGTAAATCCTTGGTGGGACGCTGAAAGGATATCCACACCCATGAATGCACTGTCCACTTCCCCAAAGCTGAAGGCTGGTGCTCTGTAGACCGGACGGAGTAAGCCGTGGGAATTGACCTGGCGATCAATATTAGGTTTGCTACTGAACCTAATGGCATGAGTATTTCAATCTGCCAGGCTGGAGTTCGTTCGCAGCCTCATAGGAAAAAGTATACGAATTAGTAGACAATAACATCATTAAATGACGAGTATGGAGCATTTGACGGCACGTCTACGGGAATACTAGGTTCAATGTTCATAACAGGCCATGGGGTACTAAGGAAAATGACATGCATCTACCTATGCTGTCGATCCCTCCCCTCCCCATTCTCCTTACGGAGGGAGTTCACATGATGCTTGGGTGGCCTCAAACATTCGAAATCTTCCACTTCCAACCCCGATTAGAAAAAAAAAAAAAAAAAAAAAAAAAAACCAATTGAGAATTCCAGAACCAACGTTCAATATTTTCTCCGAAGCTGGTTATTCTGCATTCCAAAGGTGGCTGGCATCCCGAGTCATACTACCCTGTGACCCGATGAAAATAGAGAAACGGCAGACTCATTTCTCCTTGGCCCTCGGTCTCCAGAGTAGACTATACTAACGACTAGGCAGAACCTTAGCGCCTGGTGCAAGCGGACAGTGCACAGGTGCAGGCGCTTGACTGGTGGAGCTCGCAGCGATGAGGTGGATCTCCATTCGCCTGTGGATAAGTGGCCTCAACCATCCTAACTAGTAATAGGTAGTAATGGTAATATGATGGGGGTTCCCTACCTACCCAGGTAGGTAAGTCGATTGACTACTCCGTGAATCTAACGTATTGTTATTAGCTACGTGGTCGGACTATTTCATGATTCACTTGAAAACAGAAACAAATCTCCACCACGAGCCTTGTGGGCTCGCTTACCCGGCTGGCAGATGATTCGGACGCATTACGGAATACTACCGCAGGTATGGTCTGAAAAATCCGAGGTACCTAGTCGTATTATGTATCGCCTATCTCCTGAGAGGCAGTGTTCTGCTGCGCCCGCTACATGTTAGGCAAAGATGAGCGATTAGCTCTTTGCCCTTGGTATTTTTTTTTAGCTGCTAATCAAGAACAAGTCACTGCATCGAAAGGCGGCAAATTACGGAGCATCCTTGATAGAAATATCGTTAAGTGGGAGCAATGCCTCGTTTAGACATAGGGCCGCAGAGGCGATGGGATTAGGGGGATCCCAGTCGATCAGTAATAAAACTGTTAAGAGGGTTTAATATGTACAGTACATCTTCATATCTGCGTCTTCGGTTTTTCCGAGTATATAGCACATGCGATCGTGGACCCTATTAATCTGATCTATCCTCCATCGCACCATAGATTCTATTTTATCTTGGATTTCTTTGCGTAAGTTCGGGACAACAGGTCTTCTCTAATTATAATAGTATATTGGTGTGTTGGTATGTTGCAGCTCGCATAAATCCCTACTTGAGTTTTGTTAACGCGACTAGTAAGCTGGATAGATAGCCCGGTAGGTATCATAGACAGCGTACGGAGCATCGTACAGTACTGCGTATCACTGAAGGTTCGGCCGGGCGAGACCATTTTGGTAACATCGACTAATGCACCTCTTATGCGACTAAGCAAGCCAATCATCGACTATCAACCTAGATCCCCACCGTCATTTCAGTCTCCTTGAACCTTCCGAGTACGGAGTAGGAATGATCACGGAGCACATTGAAAATTGGAACAGATGGGAGAGAATTACCCCCCCCCTTTCTTTTTCCCCCTTTCCTCCGAGCTAGCTCGTTAGAATGAGAAGGAAACCCGCCCCTTGGCCCATACTGTGGAAAGTCTCAACTCTTAGAATTAATGCTCTACATACATGTATAAAATTTACCGGACTCATTTGCTTTTGTTAGGCGAGGAAGAGGGAATATATTGAGTACAGACAGATGCATGTACACACGTTGGCCTAGAACAATCACAAGTACAGCTAGACCTTTTGCCTATTCCATTATCTTGTGATTACCTATTATAGACACAATTTCTGTCATGCACCCATTCGTCAAGAACAATTCATCCTGAATGAAACCACCCCAAAACATGTAATCTTTTAGAAAGCAATCCCTCCATAATAACAACACTATACTGCAACTAGAAGCTTGGATGGAATTCGTACGAAACATCTCATAAAAGAGTCATTCATCTATCTACCGTTTGTAGTATAGTAAGTCACCAAGAAGTTCTCGGCGCATATTTATAACCTGGGGCCCTTCCCATAGTCCATAGATGAATCCCTAAGATACAAGAGTCCTAGACTTATTGCGTGATTACGATTGAACTCTCATTCGCTATTTGGGTGAATTATAAGACATCGAATCCCCTCCTATGAATTCCAGGCCTTGTGCTGTATAAGGGCTGTATTGTATATAAACATATTCCAGCTATACAGTGTTGGGACACCCGTGAGATAAGATGGAATGTCATAAATAAAGCTTCATGGATGAGCATGATCGATCCATAGCCCGATAAGGGGTGGGGGTGCTGCTTACTTCCCCCATCCCACTTCCCCACAAGCCAGTCACATAGACATATATTGTTAGTCCGTTACCCTATGCATAACATCTATGGAACCGCTCTAGTACAAGTCCTTCTATCCTAGAGAATCCTTTAGGGTTCATACAGACATATGACGTCAAGTCCTGCAGAGGCGCAGCTCAATCTCCAACCTGCGTGCCCTACGCACCCTTGTCCAAACCAAACCATTTTGGACAGCTTAAGCATATAAAATTTGGACGGAAATGCAGAATATGCTTCCCCCCGATACACTAATGTATGTACAAGTGTCAGCAAGGGTATATCCTAGCAGGCTCTCCAATTTTCCAGAAGGACTCCGTCCACAAAGTACCGGGAGTTCAGACCACTTCCTCGTTCTACCTACCACACTCCTTTTGCCAGTTGTGCTGACGATTACGCTCGGACAGCTTACAAGTATTGATTATAAATAGTATCACAGCAAATTGAATCCTCTTGGGAGTTTTGGTGGGGTAGATGGCTTTGGTATATGTCTTCCTTCGTCGCCAAGACATGTCATGCCATCTATATGTCCAAAGATACTCAGGTCACATTCCATGAAAGAAGCAAATTTCTCTTCATTATTGAAGCTCATGAAACAAGAAATCAGATGGGGTTTTAAGACAATGGCTTGTATAACCAGTGCGAACGATTGAAATGCACGTCAAGATCAACACCCCCAAACAATCCAACAGCACCATATAGGTCAAAATTCCCTTCCAGTCCCTTGATGCCTCCAGCCTCCTCATCTTGCTGCTCATGGAGATCCCAACCGGCTACTTTATAGCCTTGTCGAGTGAGAAATACTTCGATGTCAAGGTTTTTCTTGTCGCCTCGTTGAACGCCAAGCTGGAACGTCATCCCCAAGCCTACTGTCTCTCCGACACTGAATCCCGTCGTGAAATCCTTTCCACCCCATGAATCGTTCACGAAACGGCACCCATCATCAGAAAAAACGCCAAGACTCCCTCTTTCCCAGCCTGGAGAGCGCCAGCTAGGATAAGGCTGTGCTAGAAAACCGATGGAGAATCCAGGGGAATCCCCGCCTGGCCCTTTGCGGAGACCAACTAACTTCACTTCGAAATAAATGATTTTTCTTCTACTAGTCAGCAAAGGAGAGTCCGCTTGAGTAAAGAAGAGAGGCAAATTGGTCCAGATCGAACAGTCACGGGCCCCATTGGCTGTGGTCACTTTCCAGTATCCCTGGGAGGAGAGGCGAAGTTGGCCAGCAAACTCTGGAGGCTGCACCGGGCGGACGTCGTGTCTTTGCACAGTACTGTACACAGCATGAGATGGCATGACTGGGTTATAAAGAGGGGTCCCGTCACAAAAATCATGGGCACGCTCGGCGTCGTCACTGGAAGCATTCCCGGTGCCTGAAAAGTAGTGGCCTGTTATTGGAGGCGGAGGGAAGGTAGCGGTGTCTGGGACAGCTTCCTGCCAGTTGTGATATGGAGGTGGATTTGCATCAGCAATGCCTCCAGAGCTGCGATTTGCAGCTTCATAGCTGGGTGGTGGCTCGTGAAACGGATTTCGGTATGCCATGGTGACAAACCCAGGTGGGTTCTTGGTAATGGCTGACCTGTGTATCTTGGGCCCAGGGTTTTAGATATTATTTCGTACGTGTGCAGTCACTCAACTGGTACGTAATCGAATCGGGGTCCTACTGTCGTGGTTTCGAGGTAGGAATGGTGTGAAAGAAGATATCGTTTCACTGACTGCGGGCGATGAGGCCCTTTTATGTCAACGGTCACATGATCCGCTGTCCATACATGACGAATTAAAACGTCAGGAACCATTGATAAAGGATATGTGAGGATTCCTTCCGGTTGTTCCAGAGTTGAGTGAGATATATATGAATCAGGATGCTCAGATTGCCAAGAGTGGCTATGCTGAAAGAACAATGAATACATAATTACTTAGGCCACCCACAACTTAGTATTTACACGGGGATCCCCTGGACTGAGTACCCAGGTACCATCTCAGGCACGCTGCTGTTAATTTTCTTTTTTTTTCTTGGGCCTATCTAGCTTTAGCTTGATATGGGTGTCTTCAGGTCGTGATGGGCTGTATCACCCTTCATTCTTTTCTCCCATGGCTAAAAGGCGGAGTATTCCAACCCATTACCCCACACTCAGTGTGCGTTCTTGAGCATTCCTAGCAAAACTATTGCATATCAAGAAGACAGGAAAATATACTCACCTCTCTAGTAGTTAGCTATGCATCCAACGATATCTGAGAGAATCTATCAAGAGTGTCATATATACACATATATTATATCTATAATCGACAACCCCGCTATTGGGCTGCTTAATACTGCCACACGCCTCCCATCGAGCAGATTATTACATATAATACTACCTCGTGCAACCTGACCACCTGGCAAGGTTTCATCCAACCTCCGGGGAGGTAGCAATAATCAAACCACGGTGCAGATACGTCCATACATCTGTAGGCTGAGGTTTCAGATGGAAAAGCGACCTATCTACTAGTCTGGCAGCCTCAGCCCAATCACCAAGCTTACCCTGTCAGCCACCGCTGATCTGATTGCAATCCAACATCTGTCTTTCGTTTTTCTTTTTCCTTTTCTTATTTTTTTTTACCAGCCCCCTCCCCTCCTAATCGGCTTCCTCAATGTCCTCCCCTCACCCAATTCAACCAAAAAATATTAGGGTTTTGCCTACTCCGCCACCTACATGTTTCCCCCCCAATCACTCTTAAATCAATTATTTTGACAATTCATTGACCTTGTACACTTGTAAGACCCTTCAAGTGTGTCTTGACTGACAGTAGAGATTCTTCATCTCCAATCCGCATATTTCCTATTCGGCATCTTTAAATCACCTGTCCAACACAATTTGTGCCTGTCAGAGTCCACAGTTTCCAAAAATCCCATTATTCTTTCTTGGATTATTATCTTTGGTGCTCCTGACGTGATACTCCGGGGATTTATGCACATCTTCATGTGAAACCATCAGGTTGGTTTCCCTACAGAATGGATCCAGCTACCCAGCCTGCAAGACCACGCAGGTCGTCATTTACACAACAATTGCAACGCCTGCTGCATTTCGACAAAGCAGGAAACGTGAGTCTTCTTCGCTCTGAAGTCGTTGCGCTTCACTAAATTATGTTGTCTCCATATCTCATAGCGAAGACACAGCAATGTTTTTCAACCACGTACGGACTTACAGACGAAGCCAGTCTCCGTCCAGCAAAGCCCCGAGGAGCCAGACTACCACGTCGCAACGAGAACCAAGGAGCGTGAAGATCAACCCCACACTCATCTGAATTCTATGGATGTTGTTCCAAGTGAAACAGAGTCACGATTCTATTCAACGCAAGGCCCTGCTCCGGGACATTTCGCAAATAGACCTTCTACCAAAGAAGGCCCGGAGTCAAGTAATGGTGGCAACGTCGCCCAAAAAAAGAACAGACGAGCTACAATACGCCTAGAGGCAGATCGAATCGAACTTGAGAAACGACTTTTGAAGCTTGAACAAGCGGAAACCACCAAAGAGTCAAATACCTTGCGAAGAGAATCCCGTCGTCTTACAAAAAAACAACCATTGGGCAGTTCAAGCAGAGCATCGAGTGCCAGCGGTGATGAGACTAAATCATCCTCACGCTTTTCCTCGGTTTTTTCAAGGCGCACATCTCGGTCCCGATCAAGCTCTATGGACAAGGGCGATAAATACCCCTCGCGAAGCCAGTCGATCAAAACTGAGGCGACAGTCAGAGGCACAGCATCTGAGCCACGGCAGGACGCTGCCTCTCCTGTTCCCACCACTTTACCGGTGCGCCTTGGAGCGGCAATATCTGAAGGATTGGCTGTGACAAACAACGCGTTACTCCCATATCCCAATCAACCAGTACAACCAGTACAGTCTCAGACACAGCTACACCCAGGCACGATTTCGCCAGATGCTGTTAACATAGACCGGAAACCGACTCTTGGAGATAGAGTGGTTAATGATTCAGAACATGGATCCAATCCACACGACGGACCTAACCCTAGTTTGTTGAACTCAGGCTCGCCTGATCTTGATCGTGCCTCATTCGCGGCAACTTTAAAGCTCGGTCGAGGTTCTGATACCATGCAAATGGATGGCTCTCATCAGCAAAACACCAAAGCTCGTCGAAAGCCTTCGACTACATCTGGTAACAGTCACGTAGCCAGCATTCCGGATAATCAACTCCCCACCCCAAATTCACATCCGAGTCTAATGAGAAATGCCCCAATACGATCGTTGACAGATAATATTTCGCAGAGAACTTCTAAGAAATTCACCTCATCTCCTCTCGCAGGAGTTGCTACGGTCAGCAATTCTGACCGCCGTTCCACTGCTGCTTCGAGTGATCGTATAAACCTCCGAGAATCTGCAGCTGTTCCCAATAGAAGAGCAGTTGGCACCAAATTCTCGCACACCCTGCTTCCTTCTCGCGCTATGGATAGGCCGAGTGGACCAGAGATCGTGCCGCGCAGCTCTCCTCTCGACACCGACAACAAAATGAGAAAAGTTCCCGCATCCCCATCGTCTCATATACTCAAATCACCAAGCAGTGGCAGCAGACAATCTTCGGACTCTGGCGAGACTACAGCTTCAAGCCACGCAAAAAGGTTTTCTGCGCCGACTTTAGACCATAATCTTAAATCCAACCCAACAAAACATCCTATGGGCTCCCCCTTGAGGAAAGAATCGCAACGTCGAGATTTCCCAGAAAAGATCGGACAGGACGAAAGTGCAACGGTTGAGCCTACTCCAGAGAATGTTAAATCTAATGCGATTAGGAGACGCACGAAGGTTGGAGAACATATTGGCTTGGGGGAAGTCAATACTAAACAGAATGCGCGGGGCCATGAAGCAGACAAGTCAAACGTTTCCTTGTCGAGCGGTATATCACAAGATCAAGGATCGGAGGAATACGATACGGCTGATGAGATTGCCCCAACTCCACCGCCTGTGGGTGATTACCCAGCTAGCACCCCTCGTGGATCTGCTCCAGATCCTTTAGAGAAGGAGAAGGACCCAAAGAATGTGACGTCCAGTGCAATACTCCCACGACATAAGGAACCAGTTAACAAGGTGGAACGATCGGGTCACGAGCCATCGATCAAAAAGCTATTCGTTATTTGTTGTCACTGCAAGTCATGGCATGATATGCCATTGGAGGTGTATGCGACATTTGGTGCCGGCTCCCATGCATCTGCAGACCGTCCTTCTGCCGCGCCGGGGAGCCGACACTCTCGCTCCAATAGTGGACTTCTCTCTAGAAGGCCAACGAATGCTCAACACCGATCAAAGAAGGTACAAAGAAACCTTGAAACGGCATCTGGTGTGCCACTGTCGTCGACTGTGGAATGTTGTTGGTGCGAGCATAATATTAGTCGGACATGTTGCGAGGCATGGACTACTGCTGTCCGTATGTGTGAAAGACAAAATTAGAAAGCGGAAGTGAGGAAAGTGATACAAGTTGATAGAATGAACATATGATTTTTGTATTTGTGGGTATCACGTATCTGTTAAACTGGGGCAAGATATTCTTGTTGCAAGCACTAGAGTTGACTGTGCTCAGGAACTCATCATCTCACTTTATTATTTGTATCGGCGGCTTTTCAGAGCACTTGAGTTGAATGTGCTCAGGAACTCATCATCTCACTTTATTATTTGTATCGGCGGCTTTCTGAAAACAGAAAGTCATTGGTCACTGTCCATTGTGTGTCCATGGCTGTAGATAAGGATCCATCAAAATGATATAAACTGAGCACCCTTCTCCATACCACGGACAGACCACGTGACCGAGTTTCAATCGCGCGGCCGGCGGTACTCCATCCAGGCTGGCCACCGCCAGCTTCAATCCCCTAGTCCCTCACCTCTCAACCAGCACACACCATGGCCGGCGAGCATACCTGTGGACGCTGCTTACAGGTGCTCCAGCGAAGAGCCATTGGACCCACCTCACCCGTTACAATTCTTCAAAGGCTGCCGGTCTCCAGACGACTATGTCCCGCTTCTGTGCGAAACTTTGGCTCACGCAGTCTGTCCTCCAAGAACCTGCAAGGGCAGGCAAAACGAGCATCGCCCCATAGCCTTCAGAATGCATCGCATAATATCCAATCCCTCCGGTCCAAGGCTTCGTCCGCGACATTCGGTCACTTTCCGCAGGACCGGGCATTGCTGAAGCCTAACAATCTATTCCACCCTTTCACCCAGTCGCCCGCCGCTGCGATCCGACAGCGTGCTGCATTCATCAAGCAAAACTCCTTCTGCCCTCATCCGAGCCACCAGCAAACGCGCGCACCCGTATCGCCCCACGATCCCGAATCGCGCAAGTGCCAGCACGGGTCGAGTCTTCCACCGGCCCATTCCCACTTTGAATGTCCCGACTGCGGTGTTCCAATTTACTGCTCGGAGGGACATTGGATGGACGACTTCGAGGCGCACCTGGAAATCTGCGACACTATCCGACAGATCAACGAGGATGACCATGACCTACACTCGGGACGCTTCTTCCCGGAGTTTGCCTATCCGGGTTTGCAGGATGAGAACTTTGTCATCAACATGACCAATTGGGACACTTTCCTCTACACACGGGAGTTCGACGCGATCAATGACGACCGGAGTATGAGACAAGTGACTAGGATGCTTACCTACCCGCTTACGATTGGAAGTGTTCTGCATGAGCTTAGCCCCTATAGCGTTCGGAAATCCAGCAGACTCACCACCGAAGGTCTGAAAAGTGTCAGCGGTAAGCAAATTTCTCCCCATCTTCCGGCGCAACTTGTTCATCCGAGCTGACTGGATCCATTGCAGCTCTGCGATACACCCTGCATCCCCCCAAGACCGGAGAAGGAGCCGATATCCAAGGGCTACGACTGAAAGCACCGCCCGTCCGGATTTTCATCCTGGGCGCACGCGCCGAGTCGTCCCTGCCCCGTGATGTCTGGCTGCAGCTCAGTCACATTTTCCCCCGGTCCCTGATCCACCTCATCTTCATCGGACCGGAGAGCATGGCGAACCGCGACGAAGAATTCCCTCTCCCGGAGCGCACGCCCGAAAACCCGTTCGGCGGGATCGTCGAGGACAGACTGGGCGGACAGTTCAAGATCTCGACGTACGTCGACTACTTCCATACGATGTACAAAGCGCAGTATTTCCAGCCTTTCGACCCCTACCTGGACTGCTTCATGCTCTTCCATCCTGGTCTCGGCCACCCGGCAAGCTCTCACGAGTGGGAAGAGACCCTGCCGCAGCTTCTGGAAACCAAGGTCCCCATCCTCAGCACCGGGTACACCCAGTGGGATATGGAGAGGGACATCAAGTGGGTTGGTGATAAATGCGCCGGGGAATTCGACATCCTGCTGGAACCCGGGGAGAACATCTTCCGCAGTCTACGATGGGATCTGAATGACCTGGACCCCCACGACGTTTCATGCGGCAATTGGGGCGTGTGGGCATTCCGAGGAAAACGGTACGTACTATCTTTCTCATCAGATTCATAGGAGGGAAGATCTTCGCAGTAATGAAATGGGTCGCTAACGAATTAATGCGCTTGCTTTTATAGGTACGAGGCAACTTTCAAGGAAACATAGTTACAGTCTTCTGTTGGCGGAGTCGCCTCTGTTTTTCAATTCCTTTTGGACGCTTTTCGGCTTCCTGCGCCGCAAAAATTCCCCTTGTAAATTATTGCATAGGAGTGGAATGCTTTCTGTGCTCTTTTCTTTCTCCAAGCCGGACAAGACGGAGCATGCGCGCATCAAACTCCGCTCATTACAATGTGTTAATATATGACAAACTGCGTCCTCTACTTGGTTTATTTCCATGTAGGAATCTACGTAGCATCTACTTTCAAAGTAGGAATAAACACGTAAAACTGCATTGTTCGTCCTCGATTCGTTACTTCGGGACAACAGTTAGGTTCGGACCAAACTAAAGAGAAACTAAAATAGAGAAGATAAAAGGTAGTTGGTGAAGTTCAAGAATGTCAATAGGGTATAAACCAAGATAGAACTGATAAAGAAAAAAAGAGCCAGGACCGGCAGAGGCAATAGATAAATGCCAATCTCGAAGGAGAAAGGGGGGAAGATTAGAATCAGAATTAAGTAGGATACAAGAAAATAAAGTGTAGGCAATAACCCGTCCCAACACATGAATACCGTCAAATCCGTCATGTAGAAACCAAGATGGCCTCGGTTAGGAGTGTGTACAATAGAAATAGAAATATAAAAGGGTAATGGAGAATAAGAAATGATCACATGAAAGAGGCACGTAAATTTGCCGTGGAAAGAGCCGTTATGGACTGTGGGTTTCTGTTCTTGTTCTGCCCGTCGCATTGTCCGTCGCATTGTCGCATAACTAAGATCAAACCATAACGTGGCCGACTACAGTTCAGTCGTAGATTTCCCGGGGCGATGTTATTGATCGTTGGAGTCGCCACAGGGATAGGAGAGCCCAAGAACAGTTGAACAGGCCACTAGGCAAGAACTAAGGAGAGAAAAAAAGGGTCCCTTAGAGCAAGAGAAGCCCAGCAGCGGCGAGGACACCACCGGCCATAGCACCCGAGAGCTTAACCGCCGGGGCAGCACCACCGGTGAAGGTAGAGACGGACGACGAAGCCGGGGGCACGGCGGAGGTTTGCGACGGCCGAACGGAGGAGCTGGAGGCTCTCCATTTAGGCGTAGGAGACGGGGTCGCGGACGAGCTCGGGGTGATGCTCGCGACGGAGCTGGAGCTGGAGCTAGTGGTAATGGGCAGCACCGATGAAGTCGAGGACGACGAATTCACGGTGGTGACGGAGGGCTGCGCGCCGACGCTCTGGACAGTGATGATCTGAGTGACGGGCGCAGTAGCTTGCTCCGCGGCGAAGGCGAAGGGCGCAAAGGCAGCCGAGGCGACGAGAAGAATGTTGGTGATTTGCATGATGAAGGATTCTCTGTTGGATCTGCGATTGAAATCTGATTCGGAGTTGTCTTGTCGCAAGAAGAGTGATGTGGATCAGATCAGATAGATCGTCGATTGTTTATTTGTTTTGTTTTTTGTTTTTGAATGAATGATGCTGAGATTTTTTCTCCCTCCTTTCTGGTATAGGGTCTGAACGACAAAAAAGAATGAATGGAGCTGGAAACGAGTGACAGCTCTTGTAGAGAGAAAGGAAGCAACAAGGATTGACTGGGGTGGGAAGGAAGAAGGAGAGATTATGAAGGGGGAAGAAACGAGGGAAAAGGGGGTCGCGGGAGAAGGAGCGAGCGCTAAAGCGAGGTTAGTGAAGAGACCGGCCGTTTGGAAGCACCGCTAATTTGGCCATACGAGAAATTGGATCATTTGATTGCATAATGTCGATCCCCTCGCCCGGTGTTCTTGGCGACCCTCATTTCTGAACGGTTGTTGTTCGCGTACCTGGCGGGTTCCACGGATCCGTCTTCTTCTCGGATTCAGTAGTGTCTTTTTTTCATATGATCATCAACACCTTTCGGATCCGACATGGGGAGGGGAATGAAGCTTTTATTCCGTAGTATGGCTGAACACTGACCAGAAGCCAAGCCGGAGAACAAGCAATGCCATTGTTTGAAACCGAATTATCCTGCGACGCCAGTGTCTAGGCGTGGGGTATCTATCGAATAAACAAAAATCCAGTGCCAGTATTCTATGTCTAAAAGAAGCCAAAACGCCGTCTTCCAGTGTTTCAAGCCCATGAATCAAGCACAATCATTGTGCCCGTTAGAACCGTGGAACACCCTAATTTGGCCCGAACCCATGATAGTGATGGTGTAAAGGATAGTAAAGGGTTCAGGGGCGGTTTCTCTTTCTCTCTCGTTTCTTTCTTTCCTTTTTTTTTGGTGCCCACATGTACCCACACTCAAACAACCACCCAAACAAAGCCAGTCAAAAAACAAAATCCCACCCCATTACAAACCACGGTTCTAGAGAAACAAAGGAAAAAGCAAAGGAGAGAAGAGAACAACAAGCAAGATCACAAGAAAAAAGGAAAGGGAAATCAAAGGCCCCAGACGGTACCGGCCACCATGGCGGTCATCATCCAGTAACCACTGGTTTCAAGCATTTTTGTAGCTGATGAGGCGGCCTCGTCTGCGTTCGGATCATCCGCCGTGGTGCCGTTAGGTAAGGTCCCGTTGATATAGATTGTCTTGGTGTCGTTCACCTCGGCAACCCTAACCTGACTAGAATTTGCCGGCTGGGTTCCGTTGAAGAGGTCCTCGTAGTAAGTGTTGTTGGAGTTGTCGTCGCATCCACATTCGGAATATTTATCACACAAGCAGACCACGGGCAAGGACTCATTTCGATCGGTGTTCTCGTCCGTATAGTTGTAGTGATGGTGGTAAGGATAGGCGTATGCGCCGTATAGCCAAAGCCCTGGAAAGAAAGCCAGCGCAGCTACGGGCAGGAGGAAAGGTGTCAACCCCAACGGTGACGGTCCGCCGGCAGCATAAGGAGAGCGAGCACCCCCGGAGTAGTAAGAGCCTCCGCCGTACGCGGGTCGCGGTCCGGATCCGCCGCGAGTGGCTCCTCCAGAGGTACTTGACGAGCTGAACGCCAAAATGTTAGTTCGAGATAAATCATGGCATGATGTTGTAGGCTTGGAATGCAAGACTTACCCAGTTCGAGACGAGCCTCCTCCTCTGCTGCTGCCACTACTGCCAGAGCTGCCTCCACTTCGTCCCCCGCTACCTCCACCACTTGTTCCTCCGCCGCCGCCTCGTCCTCCTCCTCCTCCACCGCCACGACGCTTCTCCAGGTCAGATATCAGGAGGGAATGTGGTTGAGTGGTGGTGTCCGACACGACCACATCGGAGCGAGGAATGCCCAGACCCGGGGCCGTCGCACAGAGAAGAGCGAAAACGGTTGTAACAGCCGTGATTTTCATGATGACGGTGAGTATGCAGGTGCAAGGATGAGAGAATTAGAAGTGGTGTGACAGGGAAGGAAGTTGGTTATATGTGCGCATCTTTGCTGGTTTGGTTTTAAGTTGCAGCGAGTTTCAAAGGAAAAGACAAATACGGGTTGTGAAAGCGATAATAATGAAGTTTGTGGTTAATCGGAAACGGAAATCGTCATCATTGCAAAAAAGGGTCCACGTGGGGAGGCGCAGCGCTACGTGATTACCTCATCCACGTGTGCCCCAACACGAGCCTGATTCTCCAGGAATTGCACTTTCTGCATACAGTTCAAACAACATATACTAGTACTCAGTACTCCGTAAAGATCATGCCATCCTTCCATCCTTCCATCCTTTGTCAACCGCGTCGGGTTAAAGAAACTGCCAATGACCGCCCCTCTAAGCCATGCAACCTTGGCCACTGACTTCCAGGGCACAAGGTGACAAGAGTGCAGACAACCAACAGGGGACGAGGCTTGGATTCCTGCGCCCGACCAGCCACTAAACCTTAACCAGCGGCCTATAGACCGGCTCCCACATCTGAACACAGATCCATTCGTCCAGTTCCTTATCGGCGGTGGGGATATCCTGCTCTTGAGCCTCTCCTTCTTGGACCGCCGTTTGGATAACTGCCTTGGCAATATCCACACTAATCTCTCGTACGTCTTCCACGTCGGGAAGAAGAGGTTGGTTGGGATCTTGACGTGCCGGCGACCGAGCAGCCAGTGCTTTGACAGCCGCCACAAGCATCTTATTCGAGACGATCCGTGTTCGTGATAGCACGGCTCCAAGACCGATGCCCGGGAAGCATGTCGAATTGTTGCATTCCGCTGCAAAAGTGGTAAGTGCCAGTGAAAAACAGACGTGGGGGCGAAAGGGGCCGGGAGGTCAGATATAAGAAGAATTGGGGCCGGCGTGGCTGTGGGCTGCAGCTCACTTACCAATTTCGTATTTCGTGCCATTCCGCTCGACGGGCGGAAATGGACTTCCGGTGGCTATGAGGGCTTGGCCCTCACTCCAACGATTGATGTCCTCGGGACAAGCTTCATGGAGCCTGGTAGGGTTGCTGAGTGGGAACACAATCGGTCGTTCCACATGCTTGGTCATTTCTCGAATGATCGTCTCCGTGAATGCCTTGGGTTTGGTGGACGTGCCGATCAAGACGTGTGGCTTCACCTCTTTGATCACGGTAAGTAAACCCTTGCCCTTCTCGTCATCCCGCGCAAAAGGGACTTGGGCTGGCGTCAGTTGATCCTGGAGAGACTTGACTAAAAGCCCTGGCTTGTCTAAACACCTGTAATGTTCTTAAAGTCAGTAATGTCCCTGGGAAGTTTATCTCAAACCGATTTCTAGGGAGACTATACCAGATTTGTTTTGAGGCTTCCGACTTCGACTTGCCGGTTTCTGTCACGATACCATCGGCAATTTGCTCTGCGATGCCAGTCCCCGCTGACCCAGAGCCAAAGATCACGATGCGCGCATCCTCTAACTTGACCTTACTGACATCAAGGGCTACGATTAGGGCGGCTAGGGTGACGCATCCCGTCCCTTGGATGTCATCATTAAAACAAGGGACTTGCGATCGGAATCGATCCAAAATTCTCTTGGCATTCTGCAGGCCAAAGTCCTCGCTGGATTTTCTGTCAGGCCCGGGTTTATCAAGGACGGTGTACACACTTACAAGTGGATGTATGCTCGAGGGAACTTCTCCTTAGCAGTGGTCACGAACTTGTCCACGAACTGGTCGTACTCCTGGCCTCTAGCCCGTCGTTGCCGAAGCCCTAGATAAAGGTCGTCACGCAGCAGGTCTTCGTTCTGTCACCTCAGTCAGTTTTTGTAAAATGCACTGATGTTCGTTTCGCAGGACGTACATCGGTACCGCAGTCTAAAACGACAGGCAACTGTCTCGAGGGGTGGATTCCAGCACAAAGGGTAGAGATGACCAATTTTGCAACGGAGATCAACATGGCGCCCACGCCTTGGTCTCCAATACCCAAGATCTGAAGGTGAAGATGTCAGCCAGCTATCCTCGAATACCCGAGCAAGCAAGATCAACGTACCTCCTCGCCATCACTGACAACGATATAATCAACTTCCTCGCCGGAGCCGAAGTTGGAAAGACTCTCCTTGATCCGATCCTGGTCATTAATGTTCAAAAAGCAACCCTCGGGTTTTCTGAACAGGCTTGAATAATTCTTGATGGCGTCGCCTTCCGTCGGAGTGTAGATCACACTGAACATCTCCTTCAGATGCGATTGTAGGAGCTGGTTTGCAAAAGTTAGAAAGCAGTGTCCCCCAAAATTGACCAACGCCATCAACGAGCTTACCTTGTAGTACAAAACCTCATTCTGAGCCTTCATGCTCGCCATGAAGGTGTTCTTTGCCAGATCATCTGGGCGGCTGCTATACTGCTGCCATGCCCGACGAACCTGTTCCTCTAAGGTCTGTACGTTTGGCGGCAGCAAGCCGTGCAACTTGAAGTTCTTGCGCTCTTCATTGGTGAAGGCCGAGCCTTTGTTAAACTGGCCCGTAGCGATGAGGCTTTTACCCTACTCTACTAGTCAGTGAAATGTTTCTTTTCATCAATGTTCACGGTGCGGGGCGATCATCACCTCGTAGGGGCATTGCAACGGTCCCCATGCAGCTCGTGGAAGATGCTTAAACTTTGATGAGACCGTGGAAGGAGGCATGATTACCGATGAGAAGCTAGTAGCAATAACGTTTAAGCAACCAGGCTTTCTAAGAGATGCAGATATAAATGCACTCGCATCAGCCTCCTAGGTTAAAACAAGCCTTGTTCGCAGGTTACACATGTTCCGAAAGAGGGCTTAGTGGAGAATGACGTAGAGAGAGATATCCCGGTTTGAGCGGCCGCAAAGCCTGGTGTGACTTGGGTTCGCCCGGTCTAGATAGGATCCATAAGACATGGAACCAAGCCTCAAGTCCGTGGTCTGTTTCACAGTTGTATTGATCGCATGGGTCCAGTACGGAGTAGTATCAGCACGAGCGTTGCAAGTCCACCCGCACGTCACCGGAGGACAGAATGACGTCGATTTTGGATAACCAATTGAAACTAGTAGGCGTATGGGATCATGTCGCTTTGATTCCTATCTATGGCATATTCATTCAGTGATTGGTCAGTCTGAATCAGCCCTGCAAGAACTTACGGGGTACATAATGCATCCTTGTGACGTGTTGGGTGCATCCTACACCGTACAGAGTAACTACATGGGTAGTACTAGTACTAGTTAGTGGATGCGCAGCAGCTGATGATCCTTACTCAGACAGTTAATTGGTCACGTGATTAACCACCGCTAAGCGAAGGAACAACAAATCCCTCTTTTTCTTTTCCCGTTATTATTCCTCCCATCAACCAAGTCGGCCGGTGTCGTGTCTCCCACCATTTCCCTCTGCCCTGCATCTTTGCAAACATTGCAGCAGCACTGTGTGTTGTGCGCATCAAAGATTAATGAATTCTTTGCGCTAGACACATTGGCTGGGGGCGCTCGCCGATGAGCAGACGTACGCGCTCACGTCCACCCTCGACCGGAGGAAGGATCTGGAAACAAACACAAACACTGAATACAAGTACAACTCGAAGATGGCGTTTGATAACAGTCACAACGATTCTTCAATCGCAACTCACACAATCCAGCTGCCCTAGTCTGGTAACTCGATCAGGTTTTTTCCCCTTGGGGAGAAATCCCGGTCGATCAGCAGACAGCTTCATCGGGCCTTTCGCTTTCGAGGGACGGTTTTCATATGCCACGTCTTGTGGCTATGTCTGACTGGAGCTGGATTGTTAGGGGGACGGGGAAATTTGTTCACGCAGGTTTTTCTGTCCCCCTTGGAGGACCGGGGTCCAAGTTGCTAGAGGAATTCTTACAGGGCCTTCATAGTTCATGCTAGCTCTTTCAAATCTCTTCCCACGAGAGCATGACTCCTTGCGCACCTACATTCTTTTAGTTGTAGAGTTATATAGTCTAGGTTTAGGGAATATATAGATACTTTGTTTAAGTACAAGACATGATGGATTTCCGATCTTTATAGTTTGCCCTTTGCCTCATCGTCAATAATCTTCACTACTACCTTGCCCCATGTCTCTCGACCTCCAAGGGCCTGCAACGCCCGGGGCACGCTCTCCAGACCGACGAAACTCTCGTCCTTGAACGCCGTGCCCCGGAATTGGCCCTTGGCCACCAGATCGAAGATGCCCTGCCATACGGGTCCCACTGTCTCCTTCTCGAACTTGGCATACTGACCCCAATGCAAGCCCACAATGCTCACGTTCTTCAGCAGCACGCGGTTCAATGCCACCTTTTCGATCTGACCCGCCGCGAACCCGATCACCAGGAGGCGCGCATTCCACGCCACGCACTTCAGACTAGCCTCGATCATGCCCACGGGGTCATACACGATGTCCACCCCGGCCTTGCCGTTCCCTTGCCGGTGCTTCGCACACAGCGCCTTCACTTCCTCCGGCCACGCCTTGTCCTTATAATCGACGACGTAGTCAGCGCCGAACTCGCGCGCCACCTCGCGCTTACGAGGCGTGCCCGCCGTCGCAATCACCGTCGCGCCCTTGGCCTTGGCGATCTGCACGGCCGCCAACCCGACGCCACCCGCGGCCGCATGCACCAGGACCCAGTCGCCGGAGCGGACATTAGCACGATGCACGAGGCCGCCGTACGATGTGGGTGCGGTCACGAAGAGCCCGGCGGCGTCCTCGTAGCTCCAACCGCTCGGCACGGGCAGCAGCGTGGCCTCGGGGGCCAGCACGTGCGTGGCGTAGGCACCCTGCGTGGCGCCGAAGACGCGGTCGCCGACCTTGAAGCGTGGCGACGGTGACGACGTCGGCACTGCCAACACAGTTCCGGCAAATTCGGCACCGCCGACCCACGGCAGCGGCGGCTGGTGTTGGTACTTGCCGCGGATTTGGAGAAGGTCGAAGAAGTTGGTGCCTGCGGAGTGGATCTCGATCAGGTAGTTGGTTGGCGAGGCCGCTGGCGTGGGAAGTGTGCTGACTTGGAGGTCTAGGGGGCCCTGGTATCATTGAGGGGTCAGGTTAGCAGGTGGACAAAGTTGTTATAATATAGATAGATAATTTGCATATAAGACAGAGGTGCAGGAATAAGAGAATGTCCGGTCGATGGGGGAGACATCGGTTTTACTTACCTTGACATATTCTTTGACTTGGATAGCCCTCATGATGATTGCTGAGGTAGTAATGAATTCAGGAAATAGGTTCTAGGAGAGAGGATAGAATGATGGAGGAAAGAAGTGGTAGTAGGTAGTAGAGTAGAAAAGGAGTAGGGAACTAAAAGTACGGCGAGCTACGGTCTGCGGTTTCCCCGCGTCTTGCGATGGGCCGAGGTCCCTGCTCGGATCTACGAAACGGTGGCGGCATCTACAGCGCCTGCCTAGTTTTCTGTCTCCATTCACATACGCGCGGACTATGAACCTTCTAGGCATTTCTCGAATTTCGGGAATTGAGTTCATCATAATAATAACATGGTCTTCCAATTGAATGTATTGTAACCACCCTGTTCCCTAAAACCTAGGTTGGATATCGACTAAGACATACATAAGTTGTGTATGCCTGTACATAAACGTATATTGACATGAACTCAGTTGTACAAGCTGAAAAACTCCAAAGGGTCAAAAAAAAATCAAAAACTCCATCTTTGCTGCAAGTGTGGATATCAAGCAGGACAATTCTTAAGCCCTGGTTCGGTGCCAACCCCCTCCGATACGCCAGAATTCCATGCCTCGATTAGAGGTCATGGCTTGTCTTTGAACATCAAACAAATGTAACGAGTCAACCCCCACCCAATATTCATGTCAAAATGCCGAGATGATGATGACGAGTCGGGAAGTCCAATGACAACCCCCGGGAATAGATAAGAGAAAATAATTGGGGAAAATAAATAAAGAAAAGACATGAAGAGAAAGAAGATAGCGTGGAAATGATACCAGGCAGGAAAAGGCAAACTGGAGAAAGCGATCAAACCAAAAAAAAAAAAAAAAAAGGAAAAGAAAACTGTCTGAGTACCTATAGATCTATACTCGACGGCTTGTGTACAAGTGGTTCTGGGCCAGGGTAATGATACATAGGAGCACACATAACGGGGTGCTGGCCATTAGAGTAGAAAGGGGAAGGGGGAGTCATCAGACCAACCGGAGGCTGGCTGGGTGCTTTGGAAGGCAGCGACGTCTTCCCTTCCAGAGGGGTGTGCTGCCTGCCCTTGGGGTCCATTTTCGGATGGCCGCCTGCGGCATCAGGAATGTATGGGACAGAGACGGCGCGTTGCCAGGCCTTCGCATCGTCGTGGTAATTAGGCATATGTTGCGTAGAAAAGCTGGAAGCTCTAGGGGACTGAGGGTAAAACCCATGGGAGTGCTGCGGCATCATTTGCAATGCATGGTCGATCGGCGGACTCAAAGGTGCCGTAGTAAAGAAGGGCATCGACGGATGTTGGGTCCCGGCTTCCAGAGCCATGGAGTACCATTGAGGAATCGACCACTGAACAGGTGCTGTTGTCGACACCGGTGGTTGCATGCAATCAGTGGTGACAGCATACGAAGGTTCATGGAACGGGGATGTCATAGACGGGTCGAGTAAAGCACCATCTACGAGCGGCGACGTATGCGACGGATCGTAGGGATTTGACCCCGACAAAACTGCCACTGATGGAGAGCTGGTCGAGGAGCGGCCGTCAAATGACGCCGTGGCATGTGGTCCTTCATGACGAGAATAGATGCCATTGCCGAGAAACCATTCGGACTCGGAGGCAGACACATGACTTGCAATGGATTGTTGCATAGAACGCGACTTGGTCTTGGGCGATACCGAAGAGGATTGATCCCGTTGACTGCCATCGTTGCCCGAAGCCTCTTGTTGGTCATCTGAAGATTTCTTGCGCGTCTGGCGAGACGGTTTGGTAACACGCCATTTCTTTAGTCTGCTTCGCAGTTGTGTTTCACTGGGAAGCGTGACCAGTCAGTCGCTGCGCACAAGTCGGTCTCTATGATAAGCGTTGAGTCTCACCTTGGGTTGAAATCATCCGAACGAATCTTCTTGATGACTTGTTTCAGAGGCCACTCCTCATCTTTGTATAGTTTCGCAATCATCGCCTTCTTTCTCTCCCACACGTCTGATGGGATTGAGTTCTTCATTCTGTTGGTGATTCTTTCCTCGAGTCCGAGGAGGGGTGATGGGAGGGAAAAAAAGATGTCCAGGAATGAACCAAGTGGTCGAACAACAACAGGTGTATGACTTGGAGCGAAGTAGTTGAGAATGGGCCTCAAAATAAAATAAAGAAAGTAAGGAAAGGTGGTAAGGAAGGAATAAATAAGAATTGGAGGGAGAGGTAGATCAATAAACGACTTGGGGGGGGGAGAAGTGGATAGGTAAATCAATGTAACTGATAGGTAATATCAGAGAAGATGGAGACGTGGGCAGATCAACGAAAGGGGAGGAGGGATCTGGATATAAGTAGTGAGTACGGAGGAATGAGCAGCGATAGATGTTATGGAGCCCGGGGTGGCTCTATCTAGAGCAAAGAGGGTCATCACAGGACAGCTACTTTGGTACTAAGGAATTAGTTACCTACCTAAGAGGTACATACATCCGGACCAACAGCACGCGATGAGGAGAAGTGGGTATCGAAGGTCAAGTCACGACGAAGGAAAGCTCGTGCCCACCGTCAGGACAGGGCAAGCAGTTCTTCCGGGGGGAAGGGAGATCGACCAGCACGACGATGCCCAAGGAACGGCATCCTCAGGTGATTGGCACATGGTCCAGGGACCCAAGTGGACTTCGGTGGTTTGGCTACTGGTGGCACGTCCATTGTCTCGGGTCCTGTCATTCACGATAATCCAGGAGTCACTGGGAAGATGGCAAAAAAAAAAAATGATTTGTGTTTAAATTTAATTTCCATCTTTTTTTTTTTTACCCACGAGGGTTGGAGGTAAGCTTTCTGTCGATCCCTGTGTCTGATTCCATGCGCGTTGTCAGTTTGGTAGGCCCTTTTTTTTTTTTTCTATGCGTGTTTCCAATTGGTACAATTGAATGGAAATTTCAGAACCCGATGAATCCAAGGTTGAGCAGTTGGAGATGAATGATAATGAACTCTCTCGGAGTGGTTGGCTCTCGGTCAATGGGAAGTTTCTCACCACCGCCGGGCTTGATGTGTCAACTCGGTGGCCACCGGGATTTTCTTTTTCTGTTTTTCCCTGCAGTTGACCCGTCCAGTGACGGGGGAATAATCTCATTGGATCCTCTAATTGTCATCCCGCCAATAGTTCGATTTGACCTATCTCGGTCCATAGGGAAAGTCCGGAGGACGTACTCCATCAACAGACGCCTCCATAGGTACTACGTAGGTAGGACATACCTAGACCTTCGTTCATGTCAGCGAGCCCCTGACGCAACTCCTCCTATGTCTGAGAAGCAGTGGGTAGATGAGGATAGTCATCTCAAACCTCATTCGGAAAGCTAGATGGTCGACTCAAAAATGTATGCAGCGTCCTGGGCAGGAAGAACTCCCCCAGGATCTCCATCGCGTTACTAGGAAGCTTACCGTACCGTACTAATGCTGTATTATCCGGTACCGCACTGGATACCCAATCCAGGTGGCGCTAGTCCTCTTCTGATACTTGGCGCAGCTATCGGGCGGCGTGATTGGGCCCCCACCGGGAGCAAACGCCGGTTGGAGACAACCAGATCCAGGAATGATCCTAGCGCCGTACAGTACGTATACCTTACCTACCGTAGATTAGGTGCCTTACCCAGGTAGGTATGGAGAGCGTTCGAGTTGCCCCCGTCAAGTACTCAATCTACTCCGTACACTCACTAGAGTCACGGCGCAGTAGTAGAGCGATCGATAGTCAGTCCAGGCACCGGGCGATAGAGTACGGGGCACTTGACTTCTGCATCGATCGAGATGCATACAGACTTTTACGTTGCCCTTTCCACTTCTCTCTGCCTCCACCCCTTCAAACACGCCGATAAGATGAGCTACGGCAGCCATCGTGCCATCGTCAGGCATTCTGCTGCAGCATCCCGGCCGACGCTATCTGGATGAAACGTGATTCATCGACGGACAAGATTCGGCTAAGATACGGGTACTCATGACTGATGCAGTGATGATGGAAGAACCACCTAAAAATACCTCGGGCCCTCTTAGTCTCCTGGCTCGGAGGCGTGGGGATCGACGGTGCAGTCCAGTCCAGCCCAGCCCAGAAGTCAATTAGATTAACTCAGTCATAGTTCTTCTCACTGCTCAGTATCATCCTGCTCCGTGGCTTCGATCTCGTTGGCGTTGAACCTCTTACTAACAGGCTAACAGCCTCTAGTGACTAGTCTTTAGCATTCGTTTGGATCGTCATTGCAGGGCGCTACGTGCCAATCATGATTTCATTTAGTCGGTCTTGTTGATTCAATTTGCGTTTTAATTTCTCTTATTTTATTTCATGTCTAACTCCGTAGTTTAAGTGTATGAATAATGAAGATGCAATTCTTTTTCGTCTTTATTTCTATTAATATTTTTTAATTTCACCCTCTGGAGCTCTTGCAGACCCTTCCACTTCCTCCCTTAATTTAATAAACTTCGCTCGCTGCTGAGATCTCGACGGATCAGGTGATTCCACTCTGAAGATGGGCGATCAATCATCATCGCCCCCCCTTCTTCTTCTTCTTCTTCTTCTTCTTCTTCTTCTTCTTCTTCTCCTTCCCCTCCCCGAAAACCATGGAAACCCCCCAACTCCCCTCGGATGTGTTCAACGGCACTTTCTCAATAATCATGCTGAATTGCTTCCCAATTTACCCACTTTCCTGTTCTTGCTTTTTATCTTTGCCTTCACCAATCATATAAAAAATAAAACCAAAAATTAAAAATTAAATGCAAGACACATGGGAGGAGAAAGAACGGTGAAGGATTGGTTCTACGTGATCCTCTCGATGTAAACAATCCTCTCATACATACTACTGCGGAGGATGAAAATCTCGTTAGTGCCATCCTTTCACCGACCTTTACGCTATCGACTTTGCTCAATGCTGCCAGGAGGCGAAAGGGAATAGCGTACTGGCTAGTCCGTCTAGCCTTAACAGAAGTGGAGTGCTCAACATGAGACAGTCCGATTCACACGGAGTGCATGCCAGACTATGCCTGTCTGCATGCCTGCATGGATTCCGACCCCTCTCAGTTCCAGGGAAAGGATTTGGCTAGTCGGTGGTCTCTAAAGTGGAGCGACTGCAAATCCCTCCAAGACGCCTGGTCGATCTGGGTCCGTCTGGGGACACCATCATCAATTCGTCCTGCGCTAGGGAAGATCTCTTCCCGGTGGATCACTCTTACTGATCTTCCCGAAGGTCCTCAATAGTCCTGCCCTCCAGGATTCTCTTTGTCTACGGAGTAGTTGCAAAAGGTGGAACGCCGGAAACGATTATCTCGTCATCTCAACATTTCCTACCCACGGTGCACGGCACACCCCCCTATCTGTCTATCTGTCCGCCCATCATCAACGGGCATTACCTCGGCCCTTGACAGCCGTGGGGCTCTTTTTTTTTTTTTTTTTCTCTCCCTCCCCCCAAAATTTGCCCTCTACTCCGTGTTAGATGCCATCTCGTCCCACTCACCGGTCATTGTATTTCCTTTGCGTCTCCGGTACACCACCCCTAACTAACCTATCGTTGCCGCCATCCGTCACGCAATTCTCGGGACTTGGTTTTATCTCAGAAGAACGTCCCACCGATAACATGGGCTTTAGTTTCGACTCTGTCGTGAGTTCTTCACGGGCAAGCAATGCAACGACAGAGTCGATCCATGGAACCATCCTAACCAGGCGCGCCTGTCTAATCTGGGGGGCGCCTGCAGAGGGCGATAGCGGAGCCATCTCGTCACCATGCCATCCAACGGCATATTAGCACAGTAAATCAGCCCGTGGCCAGCGACCACGCTCACCTGACCGCCGATCTTCATCCGACGCATGCTCTTTTCCGGGCTGGCTGAAGCAGAGGCTGAAAGGGCCCCCAGTAAACCACGTACTCCACACCCTACAATCACTTGTAACGACGCATTGTTGATTATACGGGCCCGCGATTGGCACGGATATTCAGCCAACTTGAGGCGGTGATTTGTTAAACCTATGCCAAAAGGTCCTGCGTGCTGTCAGTGTCTACTCCGCTGACCGAACTAGCGAAGCCGATCAAAATAAGGATTTCTGCCATGTCCAAGCAAGAAAACAATCTTTCCGTCATATCTGCTGGCCTTGATTATCCTGTACTCTGTCCACTCTACGGCGTGGGCTTGCCGTGTTATCTTGGCCGACTCGTGGTCGACGAAATCGGAGCAGTGGAGTCGATAGCCGACTACGAAGTACGGAAATGTTACACCTCGGACGTCTGAACTCTGCGACTGCTCCTAAGGTATCGGTAGAAGGTACCGAATAAGGCCAATTCGACCGTTAACCAGGGGACCATTATTGACTTTGGTCGTGCCTCGCGGTAGTCATACTGAAAGCGTGCAAGAGCACCGAAAACCCTCCGTTTTGGGACAGTTGGAGATCCGTTCCAACGCCAACGGCGAATATCAGGGGGGTTTGGTACCCACGTGGACGTTTCACGCTGGAAGTCTAAATCCAAAAGAAGGAGGGGAAAGTATAGAGGTCGCCAGCAGAGACCAGCGCCCATTGGGAGCGGAACCAAGGCTGCCATTCCGTAGGGCCGAGAGATCCTCTAGTCCATGACGGAGGGATTGAGGATCCCCCAGGAGGGATCACACCTCAGCACAGCTGGTTTTATGATATCGGAATGACGGTTTAGAGATGATAGCAGCGAGCAGGAGGAGGAATCGAATCCCGGGGGATCCTTTGCGGCCGAATAAGGAACTCGACACGCAGATCGTGAGGCCTCGGTGCAGTGTGCAAGGCATGATTCCAAATCCAGTCCGCCATCCTCCATTGTATGTACCACGTCTTTTTTTTTCCTTTTCTTTTTTTTCTTTTTCTCCCCCTAAAGTTCCTAACGGCCTTCGCGTGCACGCTAAACCAGGCATCGGAACGAACCCCCTTCGAGATGGGGACAGCCAGGGGCAATCCCTGCCCTAATCAGCATCGTGGGTTTTTCTCCCCAAAGTTAGAAGAGGCTCAAGCTCACCAAGTGCTGGGAGTCTCCGGATGCGAGCAGTCCTCCGATAGGTTGATACTTTTGGAGTTTCGTCCGAGTGTATGACGGACGATTTTCCTTTTCTCGGCATGGAATGGGATGCGGACTGTTGCCATGGTCCGAATGTCGCTCGCCGCCCACGAGGGCAAGCCAGATCAACCAAGGATAGATGATCCTCAACCTCCATGTTTCTCCAGTCCCAGCCCAGCCCTTTTTCTGTCTCCGGTGCTGATCGGTGGGTAGGGTCGTCGCGGTTCCACGGTTGAGTCATTAGGGCCACGACAGACCGTTGTTGCTCGTGCTGAAAGTTTCGCGGCGCTGACTCCAACTTGGACCACTACGTATCAACTTCCTCGGTTCGGGGTTTAACCTTAATCAGAAGTTGCACAACGCAATGAATAATATTGCCTTTTTTTCTACCCTTAGGGTTCTCGGGGACCTCTCGGCAATTTGACTCCCTTCTTCTTCCCGACTATCTGTCCGGTTTTCGCATCATATCGGCATCATCATCCGGTCCTCCCCCTCGAGAAAGGTCTGGGTCGAAGCACGTTTCCCAGACGCTTCTTTCTCTTGTCATCAAATCATTTAGCGACGGGTAGAGGGCCAAAAACCAAACAAAAAAGATAGTAAGAAGGAAAGAAGGGAAATAGAGCCAAACCGACAATGACGGTCTCACTGCCAGAAAGGGATAACTTTTCCCATCCGACGCCTTCCGGAGCATCACCTGCCTGTTTGAGATAGTCTGCACAGTATATGTGGGTATGTTTCAAACGAAAAGCTGTATAGTTGAACTTAACATCTACTCTCCTTCCTGCATATGGAATGCTTCCCTGGACGCTGGAAGCCCCTAGTCCACAATCATCATAGCCGACCTTTACCATCGACCATGTGGAGGCTTTTGCAACAATCTAGACCCAGTCCCTCTCCCCCAGTCAATTGAATCAGAACAGAGCCTGCGCTAGACTCCAACGTGCATCGTGGCGACTCACAGACCTCACTCGGAAATCCAGATCCTAATCTCAAAATTAGCTTTTCTGCTGTCCATCCCATCCCTACACTCTATGCTCCAGTCTCGATCGGCGCGTCATATCAATGGCAGACAAACAAGCCAGACAGGAAAGTCTCGGTCTCGGTCTCAGGCCCTGCTGATGTTTCAGAAATTCTCATACATAGCACAAAGTATGCTGGTGTTTGGGAATTAAATGACATGGGGCCATCTCGCTTAATTGATTCCTTCTTTTTCGTCGCTTCGCTTTCCCTCTCTCTCCGCCTCCTTGGTCTTTCAATTTTGAGTTCAACTTCTTGGTGCTGGACACTTTTGTGCGCTAGTCTGTCCAGGAGTCCGCCGTCGAAACTCTCCGGTGGAACAGATGAATCCTTTAGCAAGGCAGACTCAGGTGTAGGGGGAAGCAAAGGAGTTGAGACTTGAGACTTGAGACTTGAGAGACTTGAGACAAGTGGAAGGGAAGAAACTAGAGAAAGAAGAAGAGAAACTAATCGATCGGATTAATATGAGGCTAATGAGAAGAGAAGCGCTCAGACCCCCTTCCCCTTCAGTTGAGACATAGAAGGAAAGACTGCACTGCACCAAAACCACCTTCTACATGTAAAGCTTTTTAGTCTCTTTTTCTTCCATCTTCCTGATATGAACAAACGCCATTCCAACTCCAGACAACCCTTCTTTTTGTGGCTCGTGATGAGGGCAAACGCGTGCACACACAAACACAATAAAAATGACAGTGAAGAGAAGATGCGAAAGGGTAACACCGTAAAAGTAATAAAGCACAAATAAAATTACAGGGGACACTTTCGGTCCGTCACTATCTGATTCCAATCCCAATTCCTTTTAACGACGTCTCTTGTGAAGCCGATGCTCCTTGCCCTTCTTCGACTTCTTCTTGCTCTTGTCCACCGGCAACACAAGCGGTTCGTCCTTCATGTTCCATTCCATGAATCGTAGTAGATAATCATCAATATGACCCAGCTGGGGCTCTTTGTCGGCGAATTCGTCGACCTCCCCTTGCACATTCGGCGTGGTCGAGGATTGCGGTCCCGGGGTTCCGTCGTCAGGACCGGTTGCTAGCGGCGTGCCTGCCTGGGTCTGAGCAGGTGTGCTTTGCGAGACACTGCGGTCCTCGAAATCGCCATCGTCGGCATGCTCGAGTTCCTTTTGCGCATTCTTCGCCGCGTCGATATCCTCTTTGTCTTCGGCCTGTTCGAAAACCACGCGAGACCCGCCGCCACCGGAAACCCGATTGTTGAGTACACGATCCATAGCAGCGCTTGCCTCATCCTGACTCTCCAGGCCCTCCTCGTGGCCGATCATGTCAGGCATATCAAGCTTGGTGAAGTAGTCCGTGGTAAATTCACCCTCTTGGATGACGACATCGTCCAACATTCTCTTTTGGTTCGCTTTGCGGAGAATGTTGGATTCGATCGTGTACTCTGAGACGAATCGGTAAATATGCACGTCGCGCGTTTGCCCAATACGGTGGCAACGGTCCTGGCACTGTTTGTCCATGGCCGGATTCCAGTCAAGGTCGTAGAAAATCACGGTGTCAGCCCCCGTCAAGTTAATACCAAGACCACCAGACCGACTAGACAAAATGAAGGCCAGAATGCGGTTGTCATTGTTGAACCGGTCAGTAAGGATCTGGCGCTGTTCGACTTTGGTGGTACCATCCAATCGAAGATATCGGTGGCCGTGAATGTTGAGGAACTGCTCCAGGATGTCAAGCATCTTAGTCATCTGGGTGAAAATCAACGCGCGGTGTCCACCAGCCTTCAGATCTCGGAGTAGCTTATCGAGCCTCTGCAATTTACCACAGTCATACTGCAGCAACCTCTTGTCGGGGAAGGCGATGGAAAGGCGCATCTGGGCCTCGTGGAATGGGTCATAGGCCGGTAATCTCTCCTTCTTAGTGAGATGTCGAGTCTCAATTGGGGTCAAGGCTGCCTCGGTAATCCCCGAGGCAACTGCAGCCGGAGTGATGCAAGCATATCTCTGCACATAGCCATCCAGATTTTGCGCACGCTCTTCGACCGATAAGATCATGGACGCCAGGACAGAGGACCGGCTAGACAGCCAATCTGCCAATGAGTTCTTCCGGAGCGGGCCGTTCGAAGTTGGTCGCTGTTTGCTGTCCGCCGTGAGGAACTGAAGGAGACTGGTTCCGTATACCGGGCGACGACCGTGGCGTTTCGATTCGAAGTACAGGCACCGTTCCAGCTCAGCCATCCGAACTTTTCTGCAGTCGTTCTCTAGCGCTTGGAGTGCAGACTGCACCGTAGATCCGTCGAAGACCATGTTCCAGTTGGTCCGATGGTACTGACGTTCCCGGAGTGTATTGAATGGACCGTAAGCCATTAGCCTCGTGCTATCATCTGCGAGTCTTCGGGATATGTCCTCTCTTGATATCGGGACCAGGTTTAGGAAGTCCAAATCCAGCCTGTTGAGCGGGTGCTCATACAGCAATCGCCGACGAACAAGGAGCTCTTTTACCCCAAACTCCGTGGCTACAGAGCGTGCCATTGCAAACGAGGTCGAGATAGGTCGGGTCTCAAAAAGGTCCGGGTGGTTGCACACCTTTCGAAGCTGCATCAAGCAGTTGATGATGGAAAGGTAGTTCCCCGAGGCAAGGGTTTCTTTTGTTTGCGCCCGAGACATGAATCCGTCATACAAGTACCGTTGGCGTTTCGAGAGCCTGCAATAAACGACATGTTCGTATTTTCCTGGCATTTGCTTCTCAACGTCGGCCTTCAGACGGCGTAAAATGTAAGGCCTCAGAACAGTATGAAGTTTGGTAACCACTTGCTTGGCCTCGTCATCCATCGTTTCTCGGCCATGCTCCAGGATCTGCTCCACCGGGCGCCGGAACCATTCAGAGAAATTTCGTAGGTCAGCGAAACCCTCGATGCCAGCGTCGCCGCCATCCGAGGGCATCAAGAAGAACAACAAAGACCACAGTTCTGTTAGGTTATTTTGGAGAGGGGTACCGGTGAGGAGGAGCCGTGCGCGAGTGCGGAAGGTGAGAAGTGCTTGCCATCTCTGGGAACGGAAATTCTTGATATTGTGCGCTTCATCCAAGATCATGTAGTGCCAGCTCCTTCTTTTCAAGACCTGTTGATCCTGGAGAACCAACTGGTAGGAAGTAATCAGCACGTTCCAATTAGTGTCATCCATCCATCCCCTGCGCTTCTGACGGCGCTCCTCTTGGTTGCCATAATAGGTCATGATTTTGAAACCCGGGCACCACTTTTTGAACTCCATTTCCCAGTTCAGGATCACACTGGTAGGGACAACGACCAGGTGCGGTCCCCATACCTCATGCTCTACGGCCAAGTGAGCAAGTAGAGCGATCGTTTGTATGGTTTTCCCTAAACCCATCTCGTCGGCGAGGATACCATTGATATTGTTTGTGTAGAGACCGGCGAGCCAGTCCAGTCCAAAGTGCTGATACTCTCGCAGGTTCCCGCGGAGTAGATGCGGCACCGGTGTCTTCAACCCTGGAGCTGGCGACTCACTCGGTTGGCGGCCCTTTTCGGCTGCGGCGTCATATGAGGAGACTGACTCAGGCTCGGAAGGTTTGGTGGCGAGCGTTCCTGGGGATGCTTCACTAGAAGGTTCGCCACTATTGTAAGCATCAGGCTGGTCCGGATACATCTCCACCTGGGAGTCAGTATTGGTTTCAGTTGGTGCTTCGAAGACGGCTTCGCTCTCGGGGGGGTTACTCTCGCGAGGTGGGTTATCAGTCATTTCAATTTCGTTGGTCTGACTGTCGTCGGCGGGAGCAGTGTCGACGGAGGGGACATCGGCAGAAGGAACGTCGTCAACAGGGGTCTCGGCGATATCCATATCCTGGGAGATGGAATCTCGATTGGCGGGTCCGTTAGGAACAAGAGAGACTTCATCAGGATCACTTGGCTCTTCGTCCTCGTCATCAACCGAGGCCAATTTCATGTCACCTCCATAAAGACTCTCCAGGTTATCGTCGGCATCGTCAGAATCGCTTCGGGATTGGTTGTCATTCAAGGCTATATCTTTTGCAGAGAAGAAACCGAATAAACCAGGCCCGTCATCCTCATCGGAGTCGGCATCATCTGAATCTCTGTCCTCATCGGTCTCTCCCATGTCGTCATCCATGTCTGTGGATGCCTCATCACTGTCGTCCATGAGCATGGGATCAACTTCATCCAGCTCGACTGGCTTGGGATCGACTTCCTCCGAAAGTACTTCGGATTCAACTGCGTCAGGTACGTGTGAGACACCGGCGCTATCCGACGGATCGGTTTCATCGGATTCCACAGACGCGCGGTCTGATATTTGGTTAGCCTCCGAGAGGCTGGCATACTTCAACCGGAGTTCTTCGGCGGTTAAACCCTCGTCATCATCAACATAGTTCCCCCCGTCGCTTTCAGAGTCCGTCGACGACATATTGCTTTCGTTGTCTTCATCGTCGGCTGAATCATCTGTTTCTGCTTCCTCGCCGTCGCTGGTATCAGGGGCATCACTTCCGGTTTCGCCGAGGATTTCCATTCGTCGTTTTTCAAAGAGCATAGTGGATTGCTTGATGGCACGGTCCAAAGCCTGTTGGTCCTTGGCTTTCCGTTCTTCTTCCCAGTGAGCCAGGCGCATTCTGTCCACCTCTGCCCGAGTGAGATCGAACATTTTCTGAAGATCCTTGGCCAACAGCTTGCGCTTTCCTCGTACCTCATCCTGCTGTTCCCGGAGAATGTCTTCAGGATCCTTGTTTCGCTTCCTCCAGGCGTCGGCGCACCACTGCGCAAAAAGCCTTGCCGTGTGGCGATGACGTCTATGTTCCTGGTCAAGAAGTTTCTTGAAGTACAAGGCGTGCGCAACAAGATGATCCTGGTGCGAATACTGTTGCGGTGGCTCTTCCTGTTGTTCCGGGAGATAAGCAGAGCATACATCAGAACTCAACGGGCCGCCCGGTTCTGCCGCTGCCGCGATTCGGTGCCTTTTCTGAGCCTCTTCATGCGCCCCCTCTGGTGTGAGAACAGTGTCATCCCGTGCTCGCCCGTCATCGCTATCAAGCCACTCTCTAAACGACCCATATTTGCGAGGAGGTAAAACGTGAGACGGGTGTTGAATACCAATCGACGGCTTCTTGACCTTGATCCGCAGGCGGGGAACTCGCTGGTGCGACTCATCACCCTCGATCTCAGCTAATCCAAGTCCTCCCGCATTGTCGTTCACTTCATTCATCCCATTGCCAAAGCCGTTGAGCCCTCCATTTGGAAGCCGACGAGCGGAGTTTGGCGTGCCAGAACTTTGGGATCTTGTTCGCGTGTGTGCTTGTTTTGACACTGGCGACTGTGATACGCGTGGTCGTCGAGTAGAGGCGCCCCGAACAGAGACGTTCTTCGGTGACCCAGTTCGAGTCGCGTTACCACCAAGGGGCTTCCCATTCGTCTCGTGGTGTAAGGAAGATGCCGACAAGGGCGAAGACGCAGCAGCTTTGCCCCCACCGCCGACATTTTTACCGACCACTGACTTCTGACCCGCTCGCGTCGGCCTTTTGTCGGACGGGGGTGGCAGCGCAGAGGGTACGGAGTTGACTCGAGAGGACTTGCGTCTGCCATCTTGGATGAAGGAGGTCGGACCATCAACACCGGGTTTCTTCCATGGAGGCGACGCTGCGCGGGAGCTCGACCGTCGCGAGGCGGCCGAGTCCACCAGCTTTCGCTTCTTCGATGGCGGTCCTTCCGGGTGGTTGATAACGGATTCGTCTTCTTTGGGCACCGGAGGAATCGAATCGATAGTCGCAGAATCGACGGGAAGATCGTGCGTGAGGGGAGCAGACGGATTTGTGTCGGGATCGGGGGTCACGCGTGCATTTTGGTGGTGAAGGCCATCGGAGCTGCCGTTTTGCATGTCTCGTAACGACGGAGGCAGGGGCCCTCTATTCAGCTGACCCCAGTTTTCCCAACGAGGACACGGTCAATATGGGAAAAATTGGCATCAACGTGTAGCTGTAACTGAGTGGAGGTGCCACCAAAGATTTGGCATAGTTATCGGCACTTTAGCGCGACTGGTGACGGAAAGAGCGGGTGGACGGGCAGATAGCGTGGAGAGGTGGTTTTTTCCTTTTCCTGTCCGTGACGGAGGAGCAATCAGCAACTACGGGGGGAACCTCCCGACGTGTAGGTAAGCGCGCGCGGCCTCAGGCAGTCAGGCAGTCAGGCACTTAAGTTCTGTCGTGATTAGCTAATCCACATCCCCGTCATGGCCGCTTTGCACTTCATCCGCCGCTCCTGCCCTTTTTACCCTGTCGATTGCTTCCCTTTCACCTCCCTCCATCTTAACCCGCTACTGCCAAGGTGCGTCCCAACCTCTCCGTGCGGACTCAATCCTGCCATATCGGTCTATCATGCTAATGGCTAGAAATACAGATGCTGTCTCAGCGGCTCTTGACCAGGCGCCTGCCTCAGGTCGCTGCCCATTACGCCGTCCCCCGCGCCTCTTTCTCACACGTCCGCTCTCTTGCGGCTGCGGAGGTCAATGACCCCGATCCGTTGCAGGTATGATGCCTTCTCCGGCGTACTTGCGGTCGATCCGCAATCCCCCGTGGGAATTGGACTCGTCTGACCTCGTCCCACAGAACAACAACTACGAGAACCCTCCCCGTGTGAAGCGTGCCTTCAGAGACCCCTACGGTGGCTGGTGGGACCAGCAGGAAAAGCGCAACTTCGGCGAGCCGGTCCACGAAGAGAACGAAATTCTCGGTGTCTTCAGTCCCGAGCAGTATACCCACGTCACCGCTCGCCGGGGCTTCTTCCACCTGGGAATTTTTGTCGCGACCTTCTTGAGCTTCTGCGGCGTTGTGAGCTTCTACTATCCAGACAAGCCCAGCGCTCCCCGAACGTTCCCCGACGGTCTGGAAAAGGAACTTGGCGGATCGTATGCCGCTCCGGTGCGTTGACACCCTCTTCCCTCTTGTTGGGGGACCAAATTTCAGATTGGATCCCTCGTCTGGTCCCGAACCATTGGCTAATGACCGATATGATTGTATAGGCTCGCAAGTCCGGTGAGGAATCTTGGTAATTGGGCGTTTAACTTCATGTTGTGTAAATGTAAATAAATACAGTACGATTTGGTCTTTCGGCGTCAATCGAAGGTCTGATATCAGGTCGATTCATTTGGGGAAAAGAAGGTAATCGCCTCGTCAGCTACTTGACAACCACAGTGGATTCCAGATCTTTCGGTTTTTGTGCCATAGTTTTTTATACGAGGCAAAGGAAAACTGCGGAACACCAAGTTCCAACCGATCCATTGCTCAATACGTCATGGAGCAGAGCAGGACGCCGACGATCATGTTCCTCGAAATGTTCTTTTTACGGGTGACAATGGGCTTAGACATAGTAAAAAGTGTATTGCGGTCATCAAAGCCTGTAGTTAAGGGTCGTCGTATTCTTTGATAGTTATTTATATATTTTACATGCTCTGCCCAGATACACAACGAGCAACAGACGTCAAAGAAAACTTGCTGGTTATTATGACAGACCTTGTCAATATCATTTGCAAATGAATACCAGGAGGTAACACTGGCCATATCGCTTATTATTGGGGTTGTTTTGTTTCAGGTCACCAAAAGCCATCGCACGCAAACCAACCAAACGCAACCAACCCGCCCCTTTCTTCACTGCCAAACCGCCAAACCGCCAGTCCAGCTTTCCGCAGCTCCAAAGTTCCAACTCCCCTCCTTCTTTCTCTTCTCCCCTCCTCTTAACCAAAAGACGCCCACCCCCCTCCGCGCCTCTTGGATTTTGCGGGTCAAGAGGAGCCTTATAAGCAGTTGATTTACTGTCTACTCCCTCGGTGGTTTCTGTTCGGTTCCTGAACTGTTTACCCATGGTGCCACGTCCCGCTCCTCCCCTCGTCCCGATCGCCGCAAAATCGAGATAGACACGCCCACTCCATGTCGACAGCTTCTAGTCAATCCCGGGGTATTAACCGACGGATTAACAGCCTTCAGAATGAGGTCCGCCATTCGCGCAATCTTTCTGGCTCTCGCAGACGCCCCGTGAACTCCTCCACGGCCTACAATTATGCCCTCCGCGTGGCCTACCTCTCCCACCTCCTTCAGCCTCGTATGCGCCGAGCTCAGACTGCGCCAACCCCCCAGCAGCGGCCCAAAAGAGCGACTACGTTTCACGATCTTATGAGTGATTTCTCCCTGGTCCGCGATTCTAAGAGCACGAGAATCCCCCATGGCTTCATATCGGAACTGGAGAAACGGTTGACGGGGATCCTGACAAAGAAGGAAAAGAGGAAGGAGTACCAGGATCCGTTGGTGGTGAGGACATTCGCTGCCTTCCTCAACGCTCTGAAGGACCAGTCATTCAAAAAACGCATGGAGAAGGACCGACGTGCGGAGGACCTGGTCTTGATCTTCTATTCGAACGCCACCAAGGAACTGAGCAAGGGCAAGGACCCGGATGATGATCACTGGAAATTCATGGTGGACCGACATGTCGCCCTTTTTGTCCGGCTGTTTGGGCTGATCTTGAAGAACAACGACTGGGCCAAAGATCGTCCGGAGCTGGCAAACCGATTGTCGGTTTTGGAGAACAAGCTTCTTTCTCAGGACCAGGATCTGGTGGAAACGAATAGTGCGTCGACCGTGGAGGTCTTGGCTCCGGTGAGCTATGATGTGAAGGACATGCACCTCGTCCAACATGTGGCGAGGATTTTCGACATGAGCACTTCGCAGGTCCAATCCGATATCGATAAGCACCGAGGCGTCTGGACGGCCCAGGCGGCCCTCAAAGACCTCAAGGCCTACCAGGCTCATTTGAACCTCAACACTCGGAAAACGTTATCAAAGGAGGATTTTGAGAACGAAGAGGCGTATGAGCATTGGAAAAAAAGCGAAGGCCCTGATCTGTCCCAGATGATGCTTGCTATCATGCAATCAAACCCTGAAATTGCCAAAAGCACACCTGGGGCCCTTCCAAATAGTAACCTCGACCCAGCCCATGGGGAGCTGACGAGAACCAACACCGATAGACCGATATCATATGTTATTGATCAGCCCATTGATCTTAGTTCGTTGTCGCTGAGCGACGACGCTACCAACGAATCGGACGAGTCGGACACGTATACCTATATACCGCCAGACCCGCGTTCAATGTACAGATATATCCTGTCCCAAACATTGAGCCGTGACCTTAGGGATCGCGACCTCGAAACTACATCCGAAGCCCCCTCGCTCAAACTCCTCTCCAAGCAGTCGTCGGAGCTCCTGAATGAGGCCTGTTTACGATGGCGGCTACCCAGCTTCTCTCGGATAGTACTGTTCCTGGATGTCGCGCGATCAAAGTTTGTCGACAATGAGATTAACCTTGACACCCTGGATTCAGCATTTACATTTGCCAAGGAGACTCCATCAGATGGTAAAAAGCGCAGCAGCTTCGTGGCTTCGGCGATCTTTGACCGGCAAAAGTGGACAATTCATGATCTTCTATTAATGCAGCAAATACTATCATCCCTGCACGAAGCTTTGCTGCGGGAGCTGTATGTTGTCATGATGGATTGTTTCGAGGCCAAACCTCGTCCGCTCGGCCCCGTCATGTACGTGCTAGAGAATCATATCCAGCTGGATCCCAATTACACGGAGGATGCAGAAGACATGGACCGTTTCTGCTCGTATGTGCAGGATGGACTTGCACAAAAGGCGACAGAAAAGTACCAAGAACTTCTGGGGCAGGAAGTCCCGGTAGAGCAGGAGGCGTGGGAGCTAAACCACATCATTCAACTCTGTGATGCTATCGCGAAGTTAGGGCAAAAGATCCGCAAGCGGTATAGACATAACCCAGAGATCATGGGGTAAGCACCTTTTCCTCGCTCCCTACAAGCAACTTGGCCCACAGAACTAACAGAATACAGGGTCAATCCCTATACCACGCTGCTCTCGAATGTCCTCCCTATCTTTGCCGAAGATGCCCATGAAATGGTCGTTAGGATTCTCGAGCAGGAAAAAATCAGGGGCGAAGAAATTGCGATGGAGGATGGCTTTGACCTCTACAAGCAATTGACGTCTATTCGCGCTCTTTTTACGGAGGCGCTTCCAGAGTATGTCCGGCCTTTCTATTCTACCTTGGTCAAGTTCATTGCACTAACGCTAGATTTATAGCGTCCTGTTCCCATTCAAGGTGGAAGACCTACTGGAAGATTTTGTGTGGCGATGGATCCACTTAACCGACCAGAAGGTTATGGACTGGGTCGAACAGGCGATCAGACAAGATGTGTTCACTGTACGAGCTGATGACCCCAACTCCGACATGGTTCCTGAAGACCACAGGCATAGCGTCTCTGTCATCGACATTTTCCGTTCATTCAACCAGGTGGTGGAACAGATGATTTCACTCGAGTGGGATGATGACCTCCAGTACGCCAAGTTCATGACTGCGCTGTCCAAATCGATTGGCAAAGGAGTCTCAACATACTGCGAAGCATTGGAGCAAATGTTTGCCAAAGAAATGGACCGACTCTCTCCCGACCAGGAGGCCGCTATGAACCAGACAACCCAGGAGAAATTGATGCAAATTGCCAAGGAGGCCTGGGCAAGCAAAGAAAAGATCGAGCCGTTCCAGTTCTTTCCCGAGGTAAGAATGCTCGCTCAAGCACCCTTTACCCTCATATATCGTGCGCGGGCATGGCTAACGATCGACCACAGTCCTTAGTGAAGCTCAACAATATTGAGTATGCGCTCTCTCAGTTCGACAAGCTTGAACATGAAATCAATGTCGACGGGTGTGCGGACGTTATAGCACAGCATGCCCCTCCGCAAGCTCAACAAAAGATACGCAGGTCAACCACATACGTGTTCACAATCAAGATCGTGGAAGCCGAAGACTTGAAGGCCTGCGATATGAACGGAGGCAGTGATCCATACGTCGTGTTGGCGGATGAATATCAGAAGCGTATTGCCAAGACTCGTATCATCTATAACAATCTGAACCCACGGTGGGACGACACCGTCGACATCACCACTCAAGGACCACTGAACATCATTGCCACTATCTGGGATTGGGATGCAGTTGGAGATCATGACTACGTGGGCCGAACTTCCATTAAGCTGGACCCGGTGCATTTCAGTGATTTCTTGCCACGGGAGTACTGGCTGGACTTGGACACCCAAGGTCGTCTGCTTTTGCGAGTCAGCATGGAGGGTGAGCGCGACGACATTCAATTCTACTTTGGCAAATCATTCCGGACGTTGAAGCGCACCGAGAGAGATATGACGCGCAAAATAACGGAGAAGGTAAGGCTTTGAAGAGTCACCCCTCGCTTAGATCGTAATCTGTTCGCTAACGAGAGCCCCCATCTCTAGTTGTCTGCATATATTAGCCATTGCTTGTCGCGTCGAACCTTGAAATCTCTACTCTCTCAGAAGCTGAGCATATCCACTGTCTCCAACTTCCTCAATCGAAACCGTGCGCAGTCTGCTACCACCATGCCATCCAATGCGGACGTGGAAAACGCACTGACACCGCTCTTCGACTACTTCAACGACAACTTTGCCATCATGAACAAAACTCTCACTTCGGAAGCCATGAAGATGGTCATGGCTCGCTTGTGGAAGGAGGTGCTGAGCACCATCGAGAGTTTACTGGTGCCTCCTCTGTCTGACAAACCGTCGCACCAGAAGCCTCTCACTATGCAGGAAGTCGACATCGTCTCTCGCTGGCTCGTTCTTCTCTTGAACTTCTTCCATGCCATCGATGATGAAACCGGCGAGGCCAATGGTGTCTCGATCGATATCTTGAAATCGCCCAAGTATCACGAGATCCAGACCCTGAACTTTTTCTATTTCGAGCCCACCGAAACTCTGATTCGGACGTCCGAGCGGATGGCCTCGGCAACCATCTCTCGGCAGCAAGCCAGCAAAAACCGAGCGTCTGCCCCGCCCCATATTGGTTCGAGCGGCACGGGCAGCGTTCTGGGGCTTCCCAGCCAGCGACGAGCCAAGAGTATCATGCTCTCTCGGAACCTGGGCACCATGCGGAAGATGAAGGAGGAGAAGCGGCGCGAGGCCCAAGCGGAGCCCAACGACGATATGATTCTGCGTATTCTCCGCATGAGGCCGGAGGCAGCAGGCTACCTGCGCGATCGCAGCCGTCAGAAAGAACGACTTGCGGCAGCCGCAGCGGCCGACGCCATTGTGAAGCAGAGTCTAATGACCGGGGGAGGACGAATGACGGGGACTCTGGGACGACGGTAAATCTTTGCATGAAAGTCTTCCATGGAATATTGATGTTAATCGCTGCATTTTTTTCTCATCCTTTATCTTATTATCTTGTTTGTTTGTTTGTTTTGCCCGTCTTGATTGTTTTTTCCTTTTCCTTTTCCTGTCATGAAGTTGCGCGCGTCCGAGCATCGTTTGGCTATTCCGGTACTAGCATAATGATTCCCGATTCTGGTCTGCTCTTTTTATTTCTGTCTCTGCGACGTTACGATTGTTTCTCGTGCCTGCCAGGTTGTATCCCACTAGGGATTTGCAGCGCTTAACCTATAATGAATTGTTTAATTAAGGAAAGATCTTCTCTCAGTCTTGTATAGAATCCGTAGTCTAGTAATGTATAAGTTAAGTCTCACATTCTTTGCGGCTCCTAAGAGCGGTCATTCTATCAATCTCCACCTCCAAGACTATTCATCACTCCTCTTCCTCTTTCCTCAACCCTATACATGTGCAAAGCAAGACATACGCATTTATTTATTCATTTGGTTCAATTCCATTCAATTCATAGATATATAATCCTTTTGTTCGGAGGGCAGAGCAACGCAACATTTACTGCAAGGCAATGCACTCAATCTCAACAGGCACACCCTTAGGCAGCTGAGCGACAGCAACGCAGCTGCGAGCGGGTTTATGAGCGAAGAACTTCTCGTAGGTGGCGTTCATTTCAGCGAAGTTGGCCATGTCGGTAAGGAAGACCTATTCGAATCACACACGGTCTGGTTAGTAACTTGAACTGTTGGCTATTCACTAGATATTGGACCCGATTCTTTGCTTTCCCCGTTCTCTCTCCTCATCATAAAGGCAGATAGGTAGGGAGCAGCAGGATCAAGGAATGAAAGTATAGAAGGAAAGGATCTATCAACACACATTAACCTTAACGATCTTCTCGACGCTCGAGCCGGCAGCCTCAACGATGGCCTTGATGTTATTGCAGCAAGCCTGGGTCAGCTCGCCAATGTTACCGGTGACGAGGTTTCCGGAAGCGTCGGCGGGGATCTGGCCGGAGACGAAGACCTGACCGTTGGCGCGGACAGCCTGGGACTAGATGTACGCGAAGAAAGAAGTGGTCAATTGAGATGTGTCTTTTGTGGTAATTGGTGTATTGCTCGAGGTGAGGGGGGAAACTGTGACGTAACAGTTTGACATGGGGTTGTTTTCGTTGCATGGGGAATCCGATGGTTGAAGGGGGTGTTTAACGGCATTGTTCATTGGGAGGAACTCACGTAGGGACCGGCAGCTAAAGATAACGGATAGTTAGTATTTGGGTTGTTCTTTGAAGGGCAGCGGGAACCCGTAGGAATAATTGCGATCATTCCATTCCGGTGGGCTCTGGTGTTTGGAATCGGAGTTGGGTGAACATACGAGGGCAAGCGCCGGCAGCAGTGACGGGAGTGAAGGCAGACATGGCGATGGGTTGCGTTGAGAAATAGCGAGGACGAGGGAGATGAGAGACGAAGATGGGAGAGAGGGAGGGAAGAGAAGAAAAGAGGGAATGACGAGGGGTGAATCGAAGCATGAGGGGAGTGGGGACGAGAGAGGGGCAAAACCAAAAGGAAAGATGCGTCCAGAGGAGAGAGAACCTGCCTGAGAAAGGCCAGGAAGACATGGCCGGAGTATAGACAACACTCCGCGGGAAAGCTGCTTGCCCGATTGGTCGCCCTCCCCCGACATCGGTGGAGCCGTGTTTTTCCGTTGATCAAGATTCAATTTGAATTCGAAGGTAAAAGAGTAGATATATACAGTAGTTAAATATGCAAATAGCTTTACAGATCATCAATCGTCATCATATGTGCAGTTCTCGACTGTCCTGAGTCGTATCAATATATATAGTGTCATGTTGGGTTATGACCTAGGCGGCTTAATTGTTGTAGAAACGCAGCCGTCTGGTCCGGCGAGAAGCCAAAAAACACTGGCCCGTTGAAGACAACGTTGGCCGCAGGATTGCCGGAGGGACCATGGAACTCTGGAGGTGCTTCATAGTCTTGTCCAGTAGTATACTCGGGGGTGTCGTTGATGGGATCCGGATTGCGAATAGTCTCAGTCTCGGGTGCCAAGTTATCCGCCGGGGGTGCTCCATGGCCAAAGGGGCAGCGGCCAAGTTTCGGAGCGGCGTCTGCCGTGTCGTGAGACGGGCCTTGTAGCGGCGCTATAGAAGAGACATCCGCATCGGTGTTGTCAGAGGACTTTGGAGACGGATGGCTGAGAGAAGCCGGAACTGGAGCTGCCGGCGAATGTGGTCCTGCTGGCGCCGCAGGCAAGGGAACAGGCACAGGGATCCCCCAAGGCCTGCTAGGGGATTCACCGACTCGAACCTCTCGTAGTGGGCGATCAAAGTGCCCCTTTCTCTCTTCTTCCTCCTCCTCTTCCTCCTCTTTGATGGATGGTTGCATTTCCGATTTCAGGCCAACGTCCTCAGCCCATTTTTCCACTCGCTCGGCGGAGGAACTGGACGTTGGCCCGTTACTCTGCCCATTCTTTGGCAGGAAAGCCTGGTGCTTAACGGACAGACCCCGTATCATACTGATCAGATTACCATACTTTGCGTCTAACTGCCGCATGCTCGACGAGTCTTTCTGGTATCGTTGCACGCAGATGGCATGACTCCGAGGGATCTCGTGCTTATGTCTCTCGACATAATCGGCAACCTCTTCGGGACTATGCTGATCTAAGAACCTAATGGGGCACTTTGAAACTTGGCATTGGGTGGTCGAGGATCTTGCGGAGGGTGTGTGAACAGATTGTTTATCTTTCTGCTCAGCTTTTATGGGGTCCGCATCCTCGTGTCCGCAAGCATCATTGGGGACGTTCGAGTGACCCTCGACCCCGTTCGATGCTCCATTCTCAGAGGGCTTATTGCGAGACTTGGCGAACGGGCAGCGCAAACTGCCCTTCATGCCGCGCGTCGTGAAATCCTTTTCCAAGGGACGGGGGGCGCCAGCTCGTGTAGCAACGATACATTGGTTGAGGTCAGGCATCAGCCCATTTTCTTGCGAAGGGACGACAGTCTGGTAGCAAGCCAGCCCATCCGTAATGGCAGACAGAGCCTGATCTCCTACGTTTCCAGACTCTGCGAGAGATTTTACTACAGCCTGAGGATTCGAAGGTTCTTTCTGAGTGTGATCATATTCGGTGTATCGACCGAGAATTTTCTCCGAAACGATTTTGGTATGGGTATCCGGCCCATCGGGAAGTCGATCTGCGAGTTTCATATACTTCAAGAGTGTAAACGTTAGTATACGTCATCAAGAATCAGATGAAGCCAGAACAATTTGTAATAGAAGTCTCAGTCAGATAATACATGACATGTCCGTCACCGACGCTTTGAAAAAAGCGCCTCCTGATCTAGAGCTAATCATTTTTTCTCATCATGAGAGACGTTGGGGGGAGGTGACCGGGGATAGAAAGGTAAACGCAGGCGCAGGTGGGTAAATACCTCGTTGTTGGCATATTTCAGCCTTTGCTGCAAGCTCTTCTCCTTGCAGCTGAATTGCTGGGTGGTTAGCAGAAGAGCTTCGAAAGCTCGGGCTAATGTTTGTAGCGAGTGATCGGGCTGCATCTCAGCAGCCACAGGTGCAGGAGACATGATGCGATCAAGCAATAATGTTACAAAGGGAGATAAATATCACATCTGCTGGACTTCTCAAGCACTTCTGCTCTGAGCAGAAGCACAGGCGGAAGGGCATGGAGAGTGAGATGAACGGGAGGCAGAAGAAAGAGAAAGGGAAGAAATCGGGCGGAAGATCGTTGCCCGAAGATATGGCGAGATCCGGAGCTAAGCTAAGCGAGATGGTCTGTGCAGTCCACGTGATGCATTGACTGCTTGCGCCTACGGAGTAAGTACATACAGTTCATGCTGATAGAACATATCGATATCCCCATAGTCCTCCATCCGGCTGATGGGCCCTCACCGGCCCTCACTGGCCCTCACCGGTATGGCTCTCTCTCATCTTGCTAGCAATATGTTCTCCTCGCGTTATTAACCATCAAGAATACAATAAAATAATACAAATCCACTTTTGATCCGGAGTATTAAGACTCAACAATGTCTGGGAAACTTGTCAGTGGTTGTCCATTTTCTCATCCTGACTGACTGGAATGCTTACGTGTGAACAGGAATTTTCATGTGAACAAATAACTCTTTCTTCTCCCCCCCCCCCCGGGCGGCTGTTGAATTCTTCTCACAAGTGAACGTCGAGCTACTTGGTTCCGTTGATATAGGGATGCTCGTGAAGGTGTTTTGCGACTGGTGAGGATGGCGGGGCCATCAGAGGCTCGGGCGATTCGTTGTCGCTGTTCGGATAGAATCGTCCGCGCACAGGTGGGACGTTTTCCTGGTCCTCGTGTTGAGAATCAATGGTCTGGGAAGGTGCTTCGACTGGCACCGTGGCAAGGAGTTCGGCTGCCTCTTCCGCTTCGGGACAGCCTACGCCCTGCTCGGTATTGCGCTCGGATATTCCCTCCAAGCCATTAGTGTTCGACGACTGGGTATCATCAGCTTTCGGTTCTCCGTTGACATGATCGATGCAGCGCGCGCTCAATTCGGGGTCATTGGCAATTTCCTCGTTCAAGCGCTCTGCGAGCTTAGGCATCGAGTTTTGACGAAGACGGCGCAGCTCTTCTTCTTCCCAGATGTGCTGGTACTCGGGCTCGGGGCTTCCGGGGGGTGGGTTCATTGCGTTGACGTGACACTTGTGTTTGTATTGGCTAGTCAGTGCTTTGAAAGAATTGTGATGGATAATGAAATGATGTGATGACGAGACGGTGGATGAGACAGAGAAAGGGAAGAGGGTGAGATGTTTGTTGAGGGCGACCCCGTCGCTACAGTGGTCACTACGCCTACCCTGAGTTTGCTCATGTGCAGTAACATCTGTACGTATGGATTGCAATCATCACAATACGGTTCCGTTCTGTGCATGACCAGAGAAAAGCATTATTAACTTTTATACGGGCTTTATCATATTCAAAGGCGATTTGACGGTATTTTCTGGAGGAACATATTATTCTAGTCCAACCCAGCCCTGCCCTCTGTATGAAGACAGCTTCTTTACGGTTGATTGCTATGTGCGTGACATCGCCACATTTGCTTATTCAAGCACTCTGCGAGAGCCTATGCCTGCTTTAACTAAAATTGCCTATCTCCATGTGATGAATTTTGTTGGGGGAACTAACAGCAACACCATAGCTCCATGTTCGGATTCCTGGCCGGATGAGCAAGACACTACTTTATCCTTGCTCTTTATGCCAGAACCTTTCCTAGGTGCTGCGTTTTTCATAACCAAGATCATGTTTCTAGTGACAGGAAAGCATTTACAATAATCAATTTGATCTCTCGATTGCCTATATGATCCAAAGACAGAAAAACGTTGATATCAGAGACTGCATCTAGTTCGTATGACTATCCAATCAAGCATGCAGCCTGTGAAACGTATGTACATATGTCTTTCATATGCCGAAGGACTACAAGCCACATACCAAGTACCCCCTGCTTTTAACCGCTGCTAGGAGGACTGTCTCATCTCATAGAATACATGCTGAGACAACTCCGTCAGGGTATCGGGACTAGACAATGCTGTCAACCTCATAAATAGACATGAGACCATGGATGGCAAGACATGGGTCCTGAATCATGCGTACTACATTAAGCACGAGCCCTAACTCACTTAAAGCGCGTAAGAAAGCTAATGATCTCCACGGTTGAAACAGAGAAGCCGCGTTCTCTCTCTCTTTTCTTGTTTTTATCTCTCGGTATACTTCAATTCCATCGGATTCTAGATCTAGTACGCGACAGATTACGTTGCACCCATCTCCTCGATGGCGATGAGCGATCCATGCCACCTGGAACGCAGCGCGACAGGGAAGCAGCACCACGGGAAGGCACGGTCTGCGTTATGCATGCGGACTGGAGGGACGGCGCTGCAGGAGGCTGCAGGTCGGATGCAGGAGTGGGGAGACAAGCCAGGCGTCGCTGGGTCTTCCTCGTCCCTATTAGTCGGATGGTCTGTTCCGTATGGGGTCATGATGTATAAGGGTCGGTCATGGAGTCTAGGTCGATCGCAAGGGGTAATACATTCAGCAGTCAGGATTTGCCATCGAGAATGACAGGGTAAATCGTGATCACACAGACTCCGGGGGGCATTGAAGGCCGCAGCTGGAGGGGGGGGGGGGAGTTATTCCGGGAAGATAGTCCCATGCACCGGAGCATTCTAGGCCGGATTCTTTCGGATATGCAGGTTGAGTGGAGATACAAAGGGAGTCGTGCCTGGATCCTGCCGACACATCTTCAACGTACTTTTTTGTATTTTTGTCGTCGTCTTTTTGTTCCAAGTTATATTCTTGATTTAATTTTAATTCCAAATGTTCGGCCATTACTAAAAGGCGGAGGGGAGATCCTGGAATCCCCCCCAGGCCCCCAGGTAGCACCCGTCCCAGAGTGTCACAAAGTCCGGGAAAAGACAAAGGGTCGTATATAATTGTATACGTGTGAAGTGTCCAGACTGCGTACACCGACAAAAAAGACCCTGGCAAATCATGGACGTCCACGGTGCCCACTCAACTTACACGGGTATCACCACTGACTCACGCTGCGTTGTCGTTCTGGTTGGAGAATTGCCATTTGCCGCGGCGGACGACCAGGATGCGACGGTGGGCAGACCGAGGAGGGTTAGTGAGGATTGCCAAATCAACTCCACCGAAGACGAGAGGTACTCCGTAGCCGGCCGTCGAACGGACGATCGGGGGTGGCTTTGTTGATCCATGCCACTAACAGGGTGCAGATGGCGTCGTGCTATTTCTTACACGCTAGGCAGAGAAAATAATCAGTCATGGCCGGGTACTTGTAGCCTGCAGTAACCTTTCTAGTTTCTAGCATCTCTAGCGCGCACAGGTGAAGGGAAAATGCAGGATGGAGGGGTAGATGTAGGGTAGTAAAGTAAGTAGATTGTAGGGCTAGTGTGATGCAGTAGTTCTGGACTCTGCGTACTGAGTAATTGGTAGTATTGGTAGTAACAAGAAGTAAGTATGGAGGAAGTACAGAGGTACTCAGTATATGGTTAGATGCAGACGGGAAGAATTGAAGGAATCCCGGAGGATGAAAGAGGAAGAAGAAATGGAAGGATTCTAGACTCTCCGTTGGCAAAGACGGAAGGAGGGTTCAGGTAAGGAATACCCCGCCATACAGACTTCTACTGAGAGGTAACTGACCGCCGTTCCTCAGGCGGTGTAAGAGTCGGTATTGTCCCATCCACGGACCCCTCCTTCTCCTTCTACTTTCTGCCTTTTTTTATTTTTATTTTTTAATTGAATTTTAATTTTTCATTTATAATTTTTGAATATTTTTTACAACCCCTCTACTCTAACCCTCTAGCCCTCTAACCTAGTCTCTAACCCTCTAGCACCGTCCCTCTTTCTTACCCCCCTCCGCTTATCACGTCCTTTTTCTACTATTTTTACCTTTTGCTATCTTTTGCAACCCCTCACCTCATTCTCCTCCTCTCTCTCTCCTTTTTCTTCTCTTCTCTCCCCTCTCCTCTTCCATCATGTCCCAATCCACCTCCAGCCAGACTACCCAGACTCCCGATGCCGCCGCCCAAGTCGCCGGACAGTCCTCCTCCCATTCCTCCAGCACCGCCGAACTCGCCAATCTTAAAGTAAAATTGCGTTCTGCTCTGCGCCAGTTCCCCGACTTCCCCTCCCCCGGTATCCTCTTCGAAGATATCCTGCCCATCTTCGCCGACCCCTCGCTGCACGAGGCCCTCCTCCGCTCTCTGGAGCTTCACATCCGCGAGGCCCACGCCGATCAGAAGCCCGACGTTATCGTCGGGCTTGACGCCCGTGGTTTCCTCTTCGGCCCTAGCCTGGCCTTGCGACTTGGCGCCAGCTTCGTCCCCGTGCGCAAGCAGGGCAAGCTCCCGGGCCCCTGCCAGACCCAGGCCTACGAGAAGGAATATGGCCAGGACTTCTTCCAGATGCAAGCTGATTCCATCAAGCCGGGTCAGAAGGTGATCGTTGTGGACGATATAATTGCCACCGGTACGTGTCTTTTTATTACACATAGTTTGATCAAGGCTAACGGGATATTTCACAGGCGGCTCCGCTTGGGCGGCGGGTGAGCTGATCAACAAGATGGGCGGTGATCTCATGGGCTTCATCTTCATCCTTGAGCTTGAGTTCTTGAAGGGCCGGGATAAGCTTCCTGCTCCCGTTTACACCCTGCTTTCCGGCCAGGAGAGCAAGAACTAAGTCCAATAATACCAAAATAACGCCTGTTCTTTCCTTTTGTTGTGTGACGAATTTGATTTGCATAGCTTGCCGGCGGGCTTGGTTACTACCAAAAAGAGAAAAAGAAGAACAAGAAACAATCTTGGAATCCCCTTGCTCGGGACCCTTCCCTCGCGCCTCATGCCCGCCAATGCCTTCCAGTTTTTTGTTTCGGCCGTTTTGAGCGGCACCACCTTTCAATCATGAATTGGGCTGCATCTTGCAGCGGATATTCTGCATGCTCTATGCATGCACGGGAGCCGTTCAGGCGACGGGGCTCCCCCTTGGGCGTTCGGGTCCCCCCTTCATGTTTGGATGAAACACCAGATTTGATTGGATCGATCGCCGGTCTACATTCTATGAGCTTGATGTGTGGCATCGCTAGGGACACTTGTGATTGTGCATGTCTGCCGAGGGCCATCGGTATTCCTTGTTTGTTCTGTCTATCTTTCCCGAGTACCTCTATAGACTTGATTGAATACACTGTCGTAATCCGATCTCGAATCTCACGTAACCCCCCCCTGGCAGAAGCTTCTAGAACAAGCCTACTTTCATCCTCTAGTTCGGCGGGATAAACTTCCTCATCACCTCGTCCGTCCAATCCTTCGGAAACCCTATCGTCTCGGCCTCGCGCATTGCCCGATTCATCCTCGGAATATACTCATCATTGGGCTTATCGACCACCACGCCCACCTCATCCACATACACCAAGACCCTCGTCGTCGACGCATCCCCATCGCCCATCCAGCGCCTCCGTTCCTCCTCATCCACCAACCACTTCGTCACCCCAGCATCCACATACCACTTATTATAAGACCCACCCCCCTGCTCCTTCGGCCTTACACTCAGCGGCACCTTCCCCGTCTGCCCAGACTCCGGACGCTCCGTATCCACACCCTCATACCCATCTAGAAGCGTCTCATCCGCCTCATCCATCTCATACAACACCCCGTATACGGTATCCTCGCGGCCGGAGATCGGCACCTCGCCGCCGGATTCGATCTGTCTGCCGACGCGCAGCCCCTGGGGCGGGATCACGTTCGCGTACCCGTACTGGCAGATGAGCCAGCGCCAGTGGTCAAGACGGGCGATGGCCACAGGTCGGGACGAGAGGTCGGGGTTGTGGGTGCAGCGCATTCGCATCTGCGTGAACGAGAGGTTGGAGCCGTAGGCGAAGTAGAGGGCTCGGTTGGGAGGGCTCGGAGGGGTGAGGGCGGGGGGAGGGTCTGTGGTGATAGTGATGGTTGTGGAAGCGGTGGTGTTGGCGGGGGGGTCTTGTTCGTGCATTTTTCTTTTTCGTTCTCTTGCTTTTTTTTCTCCGGTGGGTTCTAAAGGTTGTTTGTGTGTGTCTGAATTTTGAGAAAGGAATTGAGAGTTTAGAAGGAGAGAAAAGGAAGATGGGTATCTTTAAGGTAGGGAAGTAGGAAGAAGAGTGTGGGTATTCTGTATTGCCTAAGTTGGAATGGTGCTTCACGTGGAGTCTCATGCCCCCGCCTTGCCTTGACTTTCTTATCGATAAAGTCTGCCTTCACAGCTCACTTACCTTGTTCATGTTTACTACCTTAGGGTATGTTATTTACCTTAGTTTTCTTGGAACTACGATTATTATCAGGGGCTTACTGTGTTCTAGAGAGGAATTGGCGTGCTATTCCATCGGGAGAATATACTTTCTCGATTAGCGCCTTGGACTTCGGCCTAGTTTCAAGTAGAATGGCATCATATCCCGGCTCAATCACGCATCGATTGTGTAGGAATATTGGATGCCAGGGGCAGGCTGCCGAAGTGATCAAGGACGATTGAATTAATGAAGATGATCAACTATCTAGGGGTCGTATAGGAAGGCCCGTTTATCTTCATATTTACGTGATATTCATGGCCGATTTCATGGAGTTTTCCGCTTCATTCATGGAACCGCTTCGTATAGAGATCTGCGGAACTTGCTAAGCTGTCCGCCAGCGGCCCTCTCTGTTAGGACCTTGGGCCTAGTGATATAATTTAAGTATGCTTTGACCAAAGAAGATCTGGCCTATCTGGATTGCTTAAATCTCTTACCAGGTGTTATATAGCTGAATGAAGTAATGGTTATAACTCTGTCGAAGTGTTGCAAAAGACAAGACTTATTAGCTGGGACGATTATCTAGATATATGTCCGGTGGAGTTTATTATGCTAGTCGAACAATTATTACCAAAACAAGGAACTGCGACTGCGCGCTGCCTACCTCCCCAGACGAAAGACAGATATATGGCATTATATCAAAAGTATCTACCGCGCTCCTAATTGGTATGCAGAAGATCTGAGTTCTGAAGATCTCTACACGACGCGGAAGATTCCATGAAATTGGCCACGAAGACCACGAGACGTTGAAGATATAAGGGCCTCCTTTGACCTCTCAATAGTTGATTATCTTCATCAATCAATTTATTCATTTTTAACCACTTCGGTAGCCTACTCCAGAGTACCCCTGGCACCTCCTTCCTACCGTATAGTCAAAATAGACTAATTAGGAAGGTACGAAACCGAAAGATACCGTACTGTACGTGCCTTCCAAATTTTCAGGTAGGGTACTAAGCTGCTCGGAGGGTCAGGCGGTGAGACGGGTAGGGCAGAAAACAGCGGGAGCCTCCCAAGGGCGGCAAGGCCCACATCAATCACTTCCAATCACACTCTTTAACAGATGTTGTCACAACAGATTGGATCTGAGGAGTCAAAACACTCAGTATCTTAGTCATTAAAGCGCCCATAATGTTATCTGGAGCCCAATTGGTCTAGAGGTATGATTCGCCCTTCGGGTCACATGATGTCCCCTGAAGCCATTACATTCAGTGAATGGGCGAGGCCCCGCGTTCGAATCGCGGATTGGGCCCTTTTCTCTTTTTTCTCCCCCCTTTCCTGAACAGATGCAGCTAAAAGTCGATTTCTGACGATCAAATTGATGGTAGGAAGTAGAGGTGTTGAGGAGAAAGAAACAACTAAGGCCGACGACACTACTGTGGAGTGGCCGGAAACTAGGGGTGACCATATTGACCATAACCGCACTCCTCCGCTCTGGCGGCAGCCCGCTGCAACAACATGGCTTGACTAATCTACCATCTACCTTACCTTATTAATAACTAGTATCAACTTATTTCTCTTTTCTATGTTTGTTTGCTAATGACTCTAATCACCTCAATAAAGGATAAAATGAAGAGATAGACCATAAACTAATAACCCGAATCAATTTTGCCCTAAAAAATCCCTAAAGAGCCCTAAGTAGTCAGTCTCTACACCGTAAAAAACCTTGAGTAATCCCTAATCCCTAAGAAAGTTGCGGAGTATAATATTATATTCGTAAAATAGACTGCCTTCTGTATTGGTAGTAGGTGTTGTGTGAATAAACATGGGATATGTTGTCACTGTTGTGCACGTAGATAGCTCCTTTAAACACCTACTTATAATTATAATTCACGATGCAGGAAAGCCCCCATAGGAGAAAATATTAATCTACTGACTTAAATAACGTACAAATTATTGATAGGAATGCCTTGCGACCGCACCGTATATCGTCGCTTGATACCGATGCCCGTTGAGCGGCGGAGCAATTCATAAGTTTCGTCACCTCCGCTGACCATCAGCATACTGATCAAATGGCGCCGCGGCGTCCCCCCGGCAGTCATTTGGGCCTCGTCAAGGTAGGGCCGGGCGAGGAAGGGTCCTGCGCGGATGGCGGCCAAGGTGTTGTGGGAATTGAACTCCGAGGCCTCGTCGTCCGGTGGCTGCTCGTCGGACGAGACTACGATGACGAGCTTCAGGGCGCGGCGTGAGGGTGGATATGCTGCAATATTCTGCAGCTTTTGCGAGAAGCTGCACCCGCCGCGCTTGACCACCAGCACTTGGTGAGTTTGCGCGACTTCTCGCGGGATGCGCTGATCGCAGAGCTCGCCGGCGAAGTAGATCGTAGACCAGGTGAGACGGTTCTTGGACGGGTCGCCTGTGACCGAGAAGGTCATTGCATCGCTTACTTCTGGGAGAGGAGCGGAGCCTAGGCCAGAGGAGACCGCGGCCGGTAAGGCCAGTCGTAGCGACGGTTGTTTCGGCGACGACGACCAGGACAGGTGCGCTTGAGGCTCGTCGCGAATCAACGCTGACACCGAATTCATCAGGGAAGACAGTACGGTCCTCATACTCGGGGAAGAGGGGTCTAGGTAGCCAAGTTTCCCGTCGGTGGAGGTGGAGGACTCGTGGATGATGGGGTTTTGGCCGTTTTCTGCCGCAGCCGGTTCTTGATGATCATCTGAATCGTTTCGTCGACGGACGGTTTCTGGGATAACGTCAATGACGATGTCAATCATTGAGGAGTCACGCATGCGGGTGAAGTTCGGATCGGTGGGATCCAGGACGTCAAATGTGATTTCTCGCGAGAGGAATACCTTCTCATCTTTTCCAAGTGGCACGTTGTTGATCACCTGGATCCGGAACTCGTCCTCCGCCGGGTTTTCTGGTGCATCTTGGGAGGGTACGTCTTGCACCATGCTTAACCGCAGTCCGCCGATGGCCTTGATGAGAATCCCTTCTCGAATCCGCTCCAGGGAGTTCGACCCTAGAACCATGCCCGGGATGCTAGGGAATGAGATGTCCAGCGTGGGACGAACGGTCATGGGAGAGCTCGTCGCGTTAAACGGAACGAGTTCAGGGGGCAAGGTCCACGGGAAGAAGGTGTAATTAGTGGGGGAGGACAGGTCAGACATTGACACGCTTGGGTGGTCCTTCGCGTGGTCCAGGAGAGGCCCTTCCGCCGACCCTCGATTTGGCATCAGGTGTAGCCGGGCCAGAGTCGCAGCATGGAAGACATCCGGCCGCGCTGCTGTCGAGGATAAGCCGAAGGTTGGGGGCAAGGGCGCTGACTGACAAACAGAATCCTTGTGCTGCGGTTGCGGCGGCTGTTGCTGCTTCCGGGGCTGAGGACGTTGCGCTCCTGTCGTGCTCTTGGGTATAATGAGAGGATGTCCCTCGGTCGAGAAGACGAACGGCTGATCCAGGTTATTCAAGGGGTGTGCTGGATCATAGAGCAAGTACATATACTTAGTAGTTTCTCCCAGGAAAAAGCTCTCCATCCTGTCGCTCAACTCGCCATTGCGGACATCTTGAAGACCGGCCCAGCCGCACTTAGTCCAGCATCTCCTTTTGAGGTCCCGCAGGACCATTTCACCGACGTGCAAATACCACGGGTCCTTTGTGGCTTGGTAGAGGTAATAAGTGGACTCGACAAATTCCGGACGGCCGCCGTACCATCCGAGATTCCCCTCAACATTGCCCGTGACAACATTCCACCTCTCTGGGAGACCAGAAAAACGATTCCAAACGGCCGTCGGCAGGAGATGGATTCCAATCGCCTCATCGAGCTCTCCTGCCAACGTCAGAAGTCCCGGATAAAAGGCGCTGAGACTATCGATCCAAAACGCCCGTGTGGCGCCAGTAAAGACATCTCCCTGAATGAGATGCGGATGTTGATAGCCCTCTCCCCGGTATAAGTGACGTTTGATCGCCGCGTGGGACTCGTGCCACACCTGCAGAAAGGCATCTGCCGAGTGTTCATGCTCGGTCAGAGGGCCGAAATGATGGTCGAATGCATGCCACGGATTGTCTAGATCGTGCGGGGGTCGATTGCCTGAGGACAGTAGGACGTACGACTTGAAAGCGTATTCGAAAAAGCTGTCAATGCCAGCACCAATCTGCGGAAGGTTCGAGTTAATTCTTGTCACGAGTCCTCTGTGCACCCCCAACCAAGGGACAACCTACCCCGGTATAAGAGTGAACCCATCTGCCCGATTCCGCATCAATTCCCGAGCCAATCAACCCAATTTCACTTCTTCGCTCCCACACTGCCCAAAAGGCTCTCTTGGCCAACTCCTCGTATCGTCCGTCTCCTGTGAGCCTGCTCAAGACAGTAAATTCGAGGACCAGACTGCCGGCGCCGGCACTGCATGTTTCTGTGATCTCGGGCGGGGATGATTGTCGTTTTCTCTGACAGGATTCCAGGTTGGGATGGTGACATGATTCAACATTCAAGGGCGAATTTGCGTAGAATGGCTGTCGTTGTACTCCATAACGTAGATTTACCCTGGGGTAGGGAAGGCCGGTATCCGTGTAGAATGCCGGGAGAATGCGGTTCGCCAGATCTGAGGCAAGTCGCAAAAATTGACCGTCGTAGATAAACCCATTCTCCCACTCTATTCCGCCGCTGCCCTCCGGAAAATCGGATTTATCCCAAGCTTTCGCGTAATAGGCTTCTGTCTCCGGAGGATTGTACTCGGCAATGGGAAGATCGCCTACGGCAAAGAGATGCGCACTGAGTAGACCACCTAGAGAAGAACAACAGCAATGTGAGCAGGGGGCCAAAAACACAGCCAGTCGACAAGGAATCTCGTACCTAGTCCACGAATGACGGTCTCAAAAACCTGGACTTTGCTGTCCCGATCGAACCCCCGCCCCCTTTCACCCTGTCCAGCAGGGCCGTCCGACCCGTCGCCGTACAGCCGAACAAAGTCCTTCACGCCGTCCTGAAAATATCCCCACGCGCGTTTTCCATCGTCGTCACTGGAAGACAGGATCGCAAGCGACGAGAGACTGTCGATCAGGGTCAGGGAGTAATTTCCCAGCACATCGTTCAGCTCGGCGTGTCCTGGGTTATCTCGGTCGCGAGCCAATGGACGGCAGGAGAGGGGACGTAATTCGTCTTCCGGGAAAGCATGTTCGAGGTAGTTCTCAAATCCATGGTAGAACATATGCTGTGTTTCTTTCCTGCAAGCACCAACCGCGTCCGATCCGTCAGCTTCGATTCAAAAGAGTTCAAACGCAAACAGCGCAAAATACCCACCTGAGCTCATGGATCTTTTCTGTCCTCATACCCTGGGCCAGGGACAGCCATAGCGACAAAAGCAAGACCCAGGTCATCGTCCATGCTGAGCGGGATTCAAACATTGGGGACCAGCAACATCTCGAGCGCATTACCGCAGTAATGGAATAACTGTATATAACATGGGAGCGTGGTAAATTCCCAAGCGCTACAGCAAGTCTTGTTGAGGGGAAGAAACTGGTTTCATGGAGGGTTCATCAATGACCGGTTGGTGGTAGCAGCTTGTGCCGCACGTGAGAGTCGGGGGGGGAGTGACGGGCCAGATATGCTGCTACTCCGCGGGGCGTCCACTAATAGACACCCTCAACTATTTATCAACTATACTCCATATGTAGATGTCCTTCTGGAGACCACCGCAGATTCAATAAAATCATGCTTAAATCAATTTAGTCAGAATCCTACATATGGACAATAATACACATGACTCGCTGCTAATGCATATAACGCCCGCTCTAACCACATAGTTGTAAAATCGAAACCAAAAAAAAAAAAAAAAAAAGGATATCTTCAGGGCACAAAAAAAATCAAGAAACTCCGGAACAGACGATGCAACAATATTTCCCAGACTTCGCTTGAAACAGAAAATGCTTAGTTGGATTTATGATTGTTAACGATGCTCAGGCTCTTCAGGAATGTTCCAATGGGAGAACGACCGCGGTTGTGCTTCAACGACATAGTCAATGCCATTGTCAGATGTATAGCTAGGCGGCCGTGGCGTCGTAGTTTTGGCGTTGGAGGGTTGCTCCGATCGACTCATGCGCTTTGACATCGGATGCGCTTCTTGGTTCACTTTTTGCCAATATAGTAGGTCGGGATTGATTCTCTGAATTATTTCAATTAGCACTTTAGTCGATTGTTGAAGACATGGATCACCGAGCGTGGGAGATCGGGCACTTACCACGCTGCTTCTCCAGAGACCATATGCTGGAGGAGGTACGGTAACCTTTTCCCGACTAGGGCCCTGGCTTTCGGCCAAAGCCTCCTCGTCGTTGGCAAGGACAACAGGAATAGGACGCTCCGGCTGCGCGTAGCCAGTAGGCCCCGATCGACTCGGGATGCGATTGGTAGCGAGCGTTCTCGGATCTCGTAAGACTACCATGATAAAGCGGATCAAAGAATGGCATAGAACAATGGCGAGGATCAAAATCATGAAAACCAAAAGAATATGCAGTTCTCGGCCCAGGTTCGAATGGGAAACAGCAAATGCGAGATCTGCAAGGCTAGTTAGCACTTGGGTTCCACGAGCATTCTTGATAGGCGGGCCTTACATAGAGCGAGGATAAAGATAAGGAAGACGGCAGATGTGATTAATGTAATGAACTTTCTCCTGGGTCCTTTCTCTTTAAGCAATGATGTGCAAGACCGCGGACGATAACTGCGGTGCGCCGACGCATGCCGCTGCGATTCGGTATGCGACCCTAGCCCCGATCTATCGCTCAACTGGGTTCCTTCTGTCGTCGACTGCGGATCGATTTGGATATACGAGCTTCTTGTCGCAAATGTGGATGCTATACCGTTGGCCGCTGAGCGATGCAATGTAAGTCGCCTTGATTGCCGACTATTTCGATGCGGAGTCCGATTGCTGGGAATCTGGTCCTCGGTGTCGGGACGATTGCCGAGGTTGTTGAAGGATGGAGGCTGTTCTTCATGGCGGCGCTCCCTTTGAGAATGCTCGTTCGCACTGATGCCAGTATGATTCGGGTTGGAAGATGTGTTGATCAAGGTGGGTGAACCCAAAGCGCTTGGATGCGATGATCCGGAGAGAGATTGCGGAACCGATTCCATGTCGAGGGGTGTTTTAGTCAAACGGGCACATTGAAGTATCGGGTGAATAGAGAGAAGGATTGTTTTGCGCAATCCACTGCCCAGTTGCGCTGTTATAACGAAAACTGTCGCTCAGTTCGCGGCCGAGTTTGGCATTCAATGGTATGTATGTACTATTCCGACTTCCGCATCCGTTAAAACACAAATATAGGGGGGCGGAAATCCCAAAGGCGACAACAGTTGCCTTAAAACGGATCGTCTTGTGATGTGTGAATAGTATGCAAGGAATATATTTAGAAAGAGGTTTTTTTTAAAAAAAAAAAAAAAAAAAAAAAAAAAAAAAAAAAAAAAAAAAAAAAAGGCAAAGGAAAGAACGATTTTGTGGTAACGGGTGTCAAGGTGGGGTGGGGGGGGGGGGGTTTGGGGGCGCTTTAAA